CACACACACGGATAGAGACCACACAGGAGGGAGAGTGTGTGTGACACGGGAATGTAAACACGTTTCGCTGCTGTACGGAGAACATCTCACGGACGGCGAGGTTATAGAGCTGAATATGATCGGTGTAAAACACACTTCGGGATGTCTTTCATGTCCGACACGATCCCCACACACACACACACACACACACACAGATCTGAACAACTGAATTACAGAACACAAACTCAACAGCCCATGAAGATACGAAGCCACAAAGCAATCTGAATCCTCACACAAATCAATAAATCCATAAACACACACACACACACACACACACACACACACGACTCTCGTTTGACAGACAGATGCTGAACAGGTCTGGGTTTATTCTGGAGATTATCATGTGTTGAACGCTCCACAGCTCCAGACGGGTGTTCGGTCTCTTTAGGAGACGAGTCAAACCAAACTCGTCTCCTAAAGAGTGTGTGTGTGTGTGTGTCTGTGAGTGTGTGTGAGTGAGTGTGTCTGTGAGTGGGTGTGTGTGTGTGTGTGTGTGTGTGTGAAAGAGTTTGTGAGTGTGTGTGTGTGCATCTGTGAGTGAGTGTGTGTGTGTGTGTGTGTGTGTGTGTGTGTGTGTGTGTGTGTCTGTCTGTGAGTGTGAGTGAGTCTGTGAGTGTGTCTGTGAGTGTGTGTGTCTGTCTGTGAGTGAGTGTGTCTGTCTGTGAGTGAGTGTGTCTGTGAGTGTGTGTGTCTGTCTGTGAGTGTGTGTGTGAGAAAGTTTGTGAGTGTGAGAGAGTTTGTGAGTGTGTGTGTCTGTGAGTGAGTGTGTGTGTGTCTGTCTGTGAGTGAGTGACTGTGTGAGAGAGTTTGTGAGTGTGTGTGTCTGTGAGTGAGTGTGTCTGTGAGTGAGTGTCTATGAGTGAGTGAGTGAGTGTGTGTGTGTCTGTGAGTGAGTTTGTGAGTGTGTGTGTCTGTGAGTGAGTGTGTGTGTGTCTGTGAGTGTGTGTCTGTGAGTGAGTGTGTGTGTCTGTGAGTGAGTGTGTGTGCGCGTCTGTGAATAAGAGTGTGTGTGTGTGTCTGTGAGTGAGTGAGTGTGTGTGTGTCTATGAGTGAGTGAGTGTGTGTGTGTCTGTGAGTGTGTGTGTCTGTGAGTGAGTGTGTGTGTGCGTCTGTGAATGAGAGTGTGTGTGTGTGTGTGTGTCTGTCTGTGAGTGAGTGTGTGTGTGTGTGTGTGTGTGTGAGTGAGTGTGTGTGTGAGAGTTTGTGAGTGTGTGTGCGTCTGTGAGTGAGTTTGTGAGTGTGTGTGTCTGTGAGTGAGTGAATGTGTGTGTGTGTGAGAGAGTGTGTGTGTATTATATTCTACAGATGTTTTTATCTAAAACTGCAGCAGTTGATCAGAGGCATGATTGAGTGACAGCTGTAAAAGCGGATGATCTGAGTGAGAGACTCTTCATCATTCCTCAGCAGGATGTTCTCTATGATCCAAAGGAACCATCAGAACCAGAGACTCGGCTCAGACGATCCGCTGGACACACAGAACACCAGCGACCCGAGGACCGCTTGGCCCCTGAGGGCCTCCGTCCAAACGCAGCACATGGTGTGTGTGTGTGATCATCACTCAGAAACAGCGAAACTGCAGACGGAGCCGAGTCTCACACACACACACACACACACACACACACCTGTGGATTTATACGTTAAGGCCCGTTCACAATAACAATATTATATGATATATAATACTATAAGCGCTGCAGTTGATGCCGTCTGTCTCTTTAAACTCAGTTCACGTGTGTGTGTGTGTGTGTGTGTAGCGCTTTCCACAACACACACCGTCTCAACAGAGAACACACGAGTCCACATTACAGGAGATGTTCAGTTATCAGAGACGGTCTGAGATACGCGATTCAGAGATGAACATATACAAAACACAGCTAACGTTACATAAAACATATTCATTTAAGGCGGCTCATTTAAGTTATGATTGTTAACAAATGATTATGACATTTAGAAAAACATGTTGATTCAGAGTTTGCATCTTCGCAGGTCATTAAAGCAGGATTCTGATTGGCTGTCAATGTTTTTAGAGTCGTGATGTGAACTCAGAACGAGATCTCCATCGTTAAAGTTATCGTCAGTGTGAACGCACCTTTAGAGTCACAGTTAACCACACACTAATTACATCAGGCTAACTCTCTGCTGGGAGCACATCTGTGTTTGACGTTCAGTGTGTGAGTGTGAGCGTCACACACACGGCAGGGGTTTAAACACACTCTGACCTTTACCCTATAATCAAGACACTTCACAAACTCCATCTCCATTCGTTCCTCATATAGAGCCACATCTGATCTGCCGTTTAAACACACGAGATCTGCTGGCGGGCGAGCGACAGAACCCCGCCGCTAACGGCACCGACGCAAACCAGCTGTCCAGGGCATCACAACCCCTCCATTTTCCCATCATCTGCTCTTCAAACGCTAGACGAGTCAGACGTCAGACCGCGGGCAGCCATGTTTACGTGCACATCTGAACCTCTCCGTGTGCCTTACCGACACACACACACACACACACACACACACACACACTCACCGGGACACGCACAGCCTCCCACCGACATCTTCTCACATGCCGGAGCCGAACGCTGGAATGGTGGCGTTGAGATTCTCCTGCGCTGTTGCTCCAGACCACCGAGACTCTGCTCACATGGGCGTCTGTTTCCACACACACACACACACACACACACACACACACTGACTGACTGACTGAGAGCGAGAGAGGGAGGAGAGAGAGAGAGAGAGAGGGAAAGAGAGAGGGAAAGGTTAAAAAAAGAACAAGCACAAAGGAATGAGAGCAGAGAGACGGAGACGCGGGGAGTTGCAGTTCACTCGCTCTCATTAGTGTGCAGAGAGAGAGAGAGAGAACGAGAGAGAGAGAGACTCTGTGAGCTGGACTGCCTTTGGGTTTATTTACTTGAAAATAAATTCATGTTCCAGTATATTTTGATATTTACACTGACTCCGGGTCAGAGGAATATGGATCAACATTAACATCACACGCCCCTTATTAATTATCTAATTCATTTTTTTGATATGCTGAACAATAATTCCAGTTAATTCATTAATCGCATGCAGGGTTATTATAGTTAAAGGGGTCCTATAATGGCCTTTTCACAAGATAAATAAGTCTCTGATGTCCCCAGAGTGTGTGTGTGTGTAGTTTCAGCTCAAATACCACACAAATATTTATATAACATGTTAAAATTGTCACTTTTTGAGGGTGAGCAACAACACACCGTTTTTGTGTGTGTCCCTTTAAATGCAAATGAGCTGCTGCTCCCGACCCAGGGGGCGGAGCTACGAGTGCTAGTGTGTCCTGAACGTTTCAAAAGCGTTTATCCTTTAATGTTGAAAGCGGAGTCAAAGATGAGCGACTCTAGAAGTGCCGACATGTAGAAGCAACAGGACATTTCTGAACGGTTAGTTTATGAGTTTATGCAGCTGATGTGGAGTTAACCATATATATATATATACTTTGTTACTTGAAATAAAAATAAACTGAAATAAATAAAAATGTTAAAAAAAACTTATTTTATTTCAGATAGTTGACAAGGCATTTAAACACACACACAGTCACAGACACTCACACACAGCATCTCTACAGGTCATCAGAGATCACGACGGTTTGACCTGCAGATGTTTCCTGTTCTCACATCTGACCCTACAGACTCACCCGTGACTAAGCCCCGCCTTTAAACCCCCGTTACTGACCAATGGGGCCTTAGCAACTGTTGCTGACATTAACAATGGCGTAACAATGACTGTTACCTGCCCACTAATCTCCACAAATCGAAAAACTTTGATTATCACCAGTTTTAAAATAGATTTTGACAGAATATCTTCAATGTGGTCTTAGATTTGTATATAATATATATCTGAGTTGGGAAAAAATGTGCTGGTTAAAACTGGCGGGGCAAAAAGAAAGTATAAATATGTACAAAAATATCAAGAAAATATTACAAATATTATAAAACAATACATGCATAAAACAAATATAAATTAATAAGGCCATATTTAAAATATTACAATAAAAATATTTGCTCAGCCAAAAAATAAAAATATAACAAATAATACAAAAATAATTATTAATGAAATATTTAAAATTCAAATGTTTTGAAAAATTTGTATTTTTTTTATAAAAAATCTTAATTCCCCCCTGTCAATAGCTCTCTCTCAGCTCTGCCTGTGTGTGTGTGTGTGTGTGTGTGTGTGTCTCAGAGCTGCGGGAGGGAGAGAGACAGGAGGAATAGAGCTCATTATGGGGGGGGGGGGGGTCCACACACAGAGGGCACCGTCACCATGGCGATGTGGCAGATCACACTAGCAGGATCACACGCATAAACACTGTTCTAACACTCACACACACACACACACACACACACACACACACACGTGTGTTTGCCCTTGATAGACAATCACCGAAATGACAAATCAATTCATCCTCAGTGGAAGCACTAATCAGGGACGCTCGATTATAACAAAAATAAAAATCACGATAATTCCGGTAATATTGAAATCAAGATTTAACATGATTAGTGGAGGGTACTGTTTATTAAGCCACGCCCCTCAATCTTACGCTCATCTGCATACACTCAGAGCCACGCCCACACCTCAACATCCAATCATCAACCGATGCACAGAATCAAGCCCCGCCCAATATTTTTCCTTTTCCCATAATCCATTTCACTCAGATATTTGTCACAGTACGGAAGATCTGTCGCTACTTCCGTTAAATCACAACCCTGAACATAACATCTGTTATTTCATATTTGTTAATAACTTATTGATATCATTCAAAATATTAGATGTATCAGACAATATTGCATATCTAATGTACATCTACCCTATCCGTATATTTAAATGACCTGCGCCGTCATCTAACACTCACTTAAAAGTTAATCTTTAAACACTCTAATAATTTATTGTTTATTGATTATTAATTGAGTATGTGTGAGTGTGTACCTCCAGAGCTCCTCGTGTCCGGCTCTCAGTATTTCTGCAGTTCAGGCTCTTCTAACAGAGAGAAACTCTTCATCCGCTGCTTCCTTCTGACACTCGTGTTCTCAGGCTGTTCTGGGATCAGGTGATGACTTACACACACACACACACACACACACACACAGAGCAGCGTTCAGTGCTGTAGTGACAAGGCTGGCAAACTCTGATGCGGTGTCAGGTTAAAGGTCAGGGGTTGGTCGATGTTCTCTGCGGATCGTGTGCAAATATAGATTACAATACATTTCTTAAACTAACATGATAAATAACATGTTAAAGTCACTGTTTTATGGAATATTGCAGTGTTTATTGTAAATGATTCATGGGTGCACATCATCATTATAGTGTTAATGTTAAATCTCAATCAGTTCCTCTTCAGCATCTCTTCTCTGATGATGAGGGCGGGGCTATAACCTGTCACTCACTTGAGATCAGACAATAGAAAAACCACAACAATCCAATCAGCCAATCAGCTCCCCATAGACACAATCAAGCCCCGCCCACATGTGTTTTTGTTCCTGAAGCGTTTCGATAGAGAAAAGACCAGAGCAACTTCCCTTTCAAGCAACTTTACAAAGTTTATTGAGACATATTATTTCCTAGTTCTGAGTTAGTTTCATTAAAAAAAAACTTTCAAGTTGACTTTAAGTAAAAAATTATGTGTGTGTGTAAGTGAGCAAGTAAGTGTGTGCATGAGTAAGAGTGTGTGTGTTTTCTCACTTCTACATTTCATTTGAGAGGGTCTCTGGGTTTCCTGCCAAATTCTGAGAGGCCACGGATCCGGGAAAAGAGGGAGCGGGGAGAGAGAGAGAGAGAGAGAAAAATCAGTGACTGCAGCGCAGTGTGTGTTTGAAGTCAGCAGGTCTACCTGTTTGTGTGTGTGTGTGTCCAGATAATGGAGATCTACCTGTGTGTGTGTGTGTGTGTGTCTACCTGCACATGTGTATCGAGATAATGGAGATCTCTCTGTGTGTGTCTGCAACTCTGCATGTGTTTGTGTGTGTGTGTGTGTGTGTGTGTGTGTGTGTGTGTGTGTGTGTGTGTGTGTGTGTGTGTGTGTGTGTGTTATCGAGATAATGGAGATCTCTGTGTGTGTGTCTGCATGTGTTTGTGTGTGTGTGTGTGTTATCGAGATAATGGAGATCTCTGTGTGTGTGTCTACCTGTGTTTGTCTGTGTGTGTGTGTGAGTGTGTGTCCAGAGGGTCCGGATAGATCCGGAAGGTGACCCACTTTCATGGCGCTTCCTTCTGCTTCACAAGACACACACACTGGCCCCGATTCACAACATCACACAGCTGAGAGAGAGAGAGAGAGAGAGGAAATAAGAGATACGGATAAAGGTCTACTGACTTTGGAAAACATTTTTTTCCTTGTTTGAAGACTGATGACATCACCACAGAAACTCATTAATTAGTGATCGGCTGATATTCAAATTACGGCAAATACAAAATAACGATAATAATTTTCATGGTTTGACAAATAACCATACTATTGAGATGCTAACATGACATTCTATGTCATAATTTTTTTTCTATGTCAAAACCTTTTTATCATAATGATGACATAAAAAGGTAAATTATGACATACTAAGTCAGAATTATGACAGTTATAATTGTAAAAATAAAATGTTATATAAAATAAAAAGCTGATATTATTACTTTTTGTCAATTTCATGTCAGTCTTCGACTAAGTATTAAGTTTCAACATGGCATGTCATAATTTACTTTTCACCATAATTAGCCGACGACATTTAAAAATTTGTAATGATGACAGTTTTAATTGTGAAAAATGCTTAAATTAGAAATCATGACATGTTAACTTGTCATAATTTCAATTTAGGGCTAGGCTATCATATTTTGTACTTTAAATATCATAATCATCTTTTAAGTCTAGTTTCATCTTTTCGTATGTAATCATTTCGACTTTTTGTGTCATATGATTTACGAAAGCATTTTTTCCGATAACTTACTTATAAGTTAACTTATTTTCAGATAACTTATGCTTTACTGGAACTGACATAAGATCAAGATGTATAACGTTAATGCTTAAGTGAACAAATATTATTGAAATGCGGAGCGAAAAGAAAATTAAGTTTAGACTAACGTTGGACTATAAAAATCTGTTATTTTACCCCAATTAATAACATTAAAAAATGTATGAGACTTGACAGAAAATTGATTATTAATAAAAGCCTGATCTGCCCTACCTGAGGATTTTCTCAGGTAGGGCAGATCAGGCTTTTATTGAGATTTACAGATTTTTTTTTATTTTTTTATTTATTTTATTTACAGATAAGTCCACTAGATGCCACTGTATTCAGTCATCATAATTAAAAAAAAAATCAAATGAAATAAATATGTAAAATAAATAATGTACCGTAAGAACTCTTCACAGTAAAACAAACAGTAAAGCCAGAGCCGTTCTGAGTAAAGCTAATGCGAGGTGTTGCCTAGTAACTACAGCAAAGACCGTTGGGGTTGAAAGTTCGAGCTGTCATTTTCCCGGGAACTCCGCGTCACGTGACTCACCCGGCGCCTCGTGTGCAACTCTCCTCTACGAATCAAAATGGCGGCGCCGCATGGCGTAAAATTGAAGGATTTAACGTGTGATTTTACGGACAACATATCAGCACACGCGCACCAGGACGCTCAGGTCTCATTTGTGATTCTGTTGTGTATATGTTAATTGTTTGTATAAAGGTGTTGTGATGACGAGCATGTGTAGAAAAGTCGCTCAGCATGTGGACACGTGGACGCGAGCGCGTGTTCGAGGCGGATGTGAAGTTATAAATCTCGAGAAATGCGCTATTGAAACCATATTAACAGCTCAAATGCGGTTTAATTAGTTAGTCAAATGTCTGAATAAAGTTTTTGAACTACAAATTCTGGTTTCAGCTGTTTAAATCGTCATACACCAGTATATATATATATATGCATTAAGGCTGAAACACGATGTTCAAAATATAAATAAACTGTCTAAAATCAAATGTATTTCTTTTAAGCCCATAAAGGTGAGGAAATCACTGAGGGTTTGACAGATTCTACTCAATCAGTATGAAAGGCCATTAAATGAATGAAAAAAAGAATATTTTACTTCTGCACGATCTTATTCTGCTCACAATCATCTTTGAATGAATGGATTATTAGGTAAAACTTCTCTTTAAAGCTTGTGTTTCTTATCTGAGTGTCCAGGTCAAATAACTATGACGTGTCACACACACACACACACACACACCTGTCTATCTGAGTCAAGATTCAATCTGAATCAATGAACAATCTAAATAAAAATCAACAGTTTTAAATGTTGTTTCACAGAGTTTGTTCTTTACTCATGGCCTTTAAACTTCTGTAAATCTGCTTTACTAAAACAATTATGATCATATACAGGTTTTATTTCTTTTCTGGTAATTCTTTGTTTAGGCCATTTATTTTAGGTTCAACAAATAAAATATTGTAAAATATATAATGGTAGCATTAATTATGTCTTTTTTACTGTAAAATTGTAAGTGTAAGTATAAAAAGCTTCACTACAGCTTTATTGTAGAACATCTTTTTATTTTTAATTTAACTCAGACTTTTTGAGATATCAGAATTGCGAGATATTAACTCAGAATTGCGAGTTATTAACTAGAGAAAAATTTCCTTTTTATTTATTTTTCATCATTTACCATTTATTCAAACATCATTTATTAGGGTAATTATTTAGCTACAGGTCAAACACTTAAGCTAAGTCACAATAATCTTAGTAATACCACGTGTGATTTGAACTAATGGGACTTTCTTTTACACAAATAATGTGATTACAGGAAAGTTCACAGACAAGTGTTTCCAGCTTTGTCTTTACAGGATTATAGAGCCCGGAGTTTGTGGCTCGGGTTTGAATCCTCCTAATCTAACCCAGCATTGTTTTGTTCTTTATCCACAGTTTGAATTTGGAAAACATGACGTTCCCGTCTTTGATCTGGATGTGGGAAAGATCTCAGACGCTCTCAGTCTCCATGGAGGCCTGGATCCTTCAATTTTATCCATCTTTCAGGAAAAGATTGCGACTGAAAGTGTGGAAAGTGAGGCGTCGCTTCTGTCAGCGCTGAGCGAGATTTTGGACAGCGTAGACGTAGAGACGTTGTCACCGTTCGACGTGCTTCCAGACGCAGACATTTTTTCAGCTCGGAAGGATTCAAACTACACAGTTAGTAGTCACTTGTGTCTCAAGTTCTCAATAATGTAAAAACAATAGGTTAATGGGTGCTTGTGTCACACTTTCCCCCTCACAGCTCAGAGATCTTCTGCATTCAGATCCAGCAGCAGCGCTTCAAGGCCCCAAAACCTCACAATCACCAAAGTCAGGAAAAGTAAGTTTCCTTTGTTTTATCCCGTTCCTGACCGGATTCACACGCAGTTCCCGTCTCCATGAAGAAGAGAAACTATATACGTGTGTAAATCAAACGGATGCAACTTCTGTTCAGTCAACAACTCTATTTAAAGGACAACCGATACTGGATTTTTGCTGATAACAAAAGTTTAAAAATTACTTTGATATCTGAATAATTAGCCAATGGTTTTTTTCAATATGTTATGTGAATTAGTCAAAGTAAATTACGTAAAGTCCCTCTGTAGTCAATAATATTATTCCTTAAAACTCATCTTTGATCACCAAAATGACATATTTAAACTCGAATGTAACTCGCCTCATTTAGTATGCAGAGTTCTATGAATATGCAAATGAGCCCCACCTCCACTCACTCACTCAGAGATCCACTGGTTGACGATCACACGTTGATCTGATTGGTTACAAGGTGGTTTGTGACGTTAGAAACACCAGCGATTTCAAAGCGTGTTTTTGTCTTTGGTTCACTGCAGTTTTAAAGAGGAAATACTGTCAACTTATGAACTTTAAACGCATTAAACGCTGGATTTACACCACAGGGGGACTTTAAAGGTACACTATGTATCTTTTGGCCCTCTAGAGGTTAAAAACAAATCTGCATTTAGATGTAAAGGATCTCAAGCTTGCTTTGCTGTAGCGTTCTCCATTAATAGACACGGTACTTTCTTGAAAATAAACTCCAGCACAACAACCATAATGAAATGATCTTCACAATAGATAATGCTTTACAGTGAACTCTGTTGACAATTTATCTGTTCAGCACATCGGTATCAACGTAATCATTATCGGCCCGATAATTAAATTTGGCCGATATATTAAAGCTGATAAATAATGTATAATTTCCTTCAGCTGAGACGCTTCAAATGCGCACTGCACTGTTCAACATGATGGTTATGAATTGCTTGAAATATATAATTTGAATCACTTAAAAAAAAGGAAAATACAGTTCACTGTACATCATATCGGCTATATAGCATTAAAAGGAGGATCATAAAATGGCTTGTTTTTGTAATCAGGCTCTCAAAAACTACATACAAATTTGGATTTAGATTTATCGGCCAAAATATGGTTTATCTGCCTTTAAATATAATTGATTATCGGTATCGGGCAAAATTTGTATATCGGCGCATCCCCATAATACATAACTCCCATTTTGAATAATCAAAATCCCATCTCTGTGTTGCTTTTACACCATTTTCAAATCCCTAAGCTGAAGAAGAAGAAGACCTCTAGTGTTATGCCAGTGTTTTGTGTGGTTTTCTCCATCAGGAGGTGGTGATATCCGACAGACAGTTGAGACCCCGTCGCCATTCGGAAACCCAGAGTAAGATCTCACAGCGAGCCGACGATGAGAAGAACCCGAGAGAGAGCAAGAGGAGCGCGAGAAGCTTTCGCATCGAATCCGACACCATATTCCCACAAGACGAGCGGGAATTCCTCGCAGATTTAGTGAGACACATGCATCCGTACTGCATCAGGACCGATCCGGAGAAAGAGGTCCACGTGTCTGTGGAGGAAGAGGAAGAGGAGGAGTTTGTAGATGTTGAAGGTTACGAGGAACCAGAAGGGAACCAATCAGGACAAGATCCGAAAGCAGAAAGCGGCTCATCTCGGATCCCCAAATCCGAAAAGGATGAAGATGTGTTTGGAGATGACGGAAATATCTCGTCGTTAGACAAACGTGTTTTGACGCCAGCTCCTCAGCGAAGAAGCGCTTTACTCAAAACCAGGGAAAAAAACAGGAAGACGGTGACATTTGCAGTCAATTTAACCCTCGTTCACGAGATTCCTCCTGACGATGAGTCCGACTCCGATTCGGAATCCACATCCTCTAAAAGTGACATCACTTCCCCTCAGAAGCCTAAAGCGCTCAGTCTTCAACAGTACCGTCTCCTCAGACAGAACAAACAACCTCGTGAAGAGACACGAAAGGACTATCGGACGAAATGGCCTTCGCTTCCAGACTTTCCCAGGGAGCTTCCGGCTATTCTGCCGGATTTGATTAAGGTGGGCCCGAAGTTGAATGTAAACGCGTGTTGTGGTGCGATAGATAAAGCTCCAACTGTTGAGGTGAAGATATCGGCATCCCAGCCACGAGAAATCACGCGTTCGTCACGTGTAAAGCTCAGAAGGCCCGAAAATCTTTGCACTGATCCTCCAAACCCGGTTCTAGTGCGCCTGAAGCCCATGCTGTCATCGGGGATAAACACGCAGCCGGCGCTAACACACTCCCAAGCTGACGTCTGCGTTTCCCGTGAAGAGGTTCGACCCGCCGAGGTCGTGCCTGTGATCATCAAAGCCACAGATTCAGCAACGAGAACCGGATCAGAACCGTCAGACTCGGTACCGACGCCCACGAGCGTCGCAGAGAACCCCGAAGGACAGCAGAACCAGACCCCGTGTGGAGAAATCGGTGAGCTAACCCGCCAGAACGGACTTTTAAACTATTAAAATGCTTTCAAAGCAGGGTAATTATCATTAATTAAAAGTAAAACCATTTATGAAATAAAACTTTTTTGTTACTTGGAACAAATGTTAACTATACAGCATATTTTATTTCATTTCTCATTTTCATTTAGTTATACTTGGTGTAAAAATTTAGGAAAACTAAATGGACAAATTTAAAATCTAATAAAATTATAAAACCATACAAATGTTACTAAAACTGAATTTTGAAATTAAAACCGAAAATATCACATTTATTTAATTTTTATAAGAATTATAATAGAATTTGAATTGTCATTTGCAAGAACAACAAAATTACTACAATGAAATTGGAGAATATGAAAACAAAAATTTATAAAATATTTATAGAATAATAAAAATAGAAACCAAGTAGACAAAAACAATTAATTAAAATAAAAAAACACAGAACAAAAGGACTATAAATAAAATGAAAACTGAATTTAAAAACAAAACATTTAAAATATTTCTAAAAACTAAGAGAAACTAGAACCTAAATGAACAATGAAAACTAAATAGAAAAAACAACAAACTAATAAAAATGACAAACATATAAATGCTATAACTAAAATATAAAAACATAAAATTAATTTACTAAAACTATAATAGAAACTTTAAACTAAAATGACAATGGAAAATATTTAACAAATAAAATAGACAAGGAAAAATTAACAAAAAAAATGAAAAATATAAAATCAGAAACAAATTCAAAATGTTTATAAAAACTATATTTTATCAGTGATGCTGAAATAACAGTTAAAGCATCTCATGTTGTGTTTATTTTGCAGGAATTGAAGCCACTGATCTGACCAGCCTTTTGGAGCAGTTTGAGACTCAAGGTAAATGATAAATGCGTGTTTTGTTATTAAACTTTAAGACAATATTGTCACATATTTAATGCAGTCAGACTCTGTTCGTGTTATTAATCGTTAAAGCACAATCGTTAAAGTTGTGATTGAAGTCCTTTAATATAATGGCTCAATAGCTTTTGTCGAACAGCTGGAATGAATAATGTTTGTATGTTCAGGGTTTAAATCTCTAGAAACACAACTGGAAATTATTATCGCAACTAACTAGTGAATATTTGTCGCTCCTACCGTAAATGTGAGTCAAACTGTTGTTTCTCTGCAGCTTCTGAAGGGCCGAATCTTCCAGACGTTTCCCGGGATGAGCATCAGGATGGCCAGGCGATGGATCTCAGTAGCACTGCAGGTCAGAGGTCACATCAGAGTTAGTGATCTGACCACCAGCATATTTCATAATTTTTATTTTGTTCATTCATATATTAGGGACGCACGATATATCGGCCACCATATCGGCATCTGCCGATTTGTTCAAAACACAGTAAAGTGCAACTTGTGTCTGACATAACGGCTACATAAAGTTATAAAGAGACATCGTATAGATGAGACATCATGAATATGCTAATGAGGGAGTTGTCCAATGAGAGCAGTGGGTGTTTTGACTGTAGTTTCATGATTATTTGTTTCTCTCCAGGACTAACTCCGCCCGCCACTCCTCCACATCAGACCTGGAAGCCCCTGGTGCCGGTCAAAGCCACAAAGTCCAGCAAAACCATTCAGATTATTGAACCCCGCCCTTTGCCGCCCAGCAAAACTCATTCAAAACTTCCCACCTTCACTCCTGCGTCGAATCCCGCTCAACTTTTCCTGGATCACGATTACTGTGGGATTCTGGGAAGCAAGACGCCGTTCAACTCGGTTTCGAGCCCTTGCGATTACAGGGTGTTGTTGTCACCTGACAGCTCGCCCTGCAGGACAGACACGCTTGAGGAGGCGGAGGGCTTGCGCTTCTCCGCCCCCTCTCCGAGCCCATTGGACCGTGGGAGGAGGAAGAGGCGGGGTTATGATGGAGGATATCGGCGCTCCAGGTCAAGGTCATCGTGCTCTTCTTGTTCTTCATCGTCATCGTCATCTCCTTCCAGGTCTCGTTCACCGCCCAAAAAAAGGTAATGGAAGCTGTTGCTACTAAAATACAATAAAACGTTGTTAAAATAATTACCCTCTAGTCTATCATTTTTCCATTAAAACTCACCTTTGGCACCAAAATTACATATTTAAATGCAAACACATGTCTTTATGCTTTAGAATATCTTGAATGTAACTCGACAACCTTGTCTCATTAAGTATATGTGGTTCTATGAATATGCAAATGAGCCCCGCCTCCACTCACTCACGGCAGCTCCACTCATTGACGATCACAAGAAGAAAAAAAGTATTTCCACCACAGAGGGACTTTAACAAGATTTATATTTAAAATTGACATGGATCCATTTAACATAACACAGCATTATTTACCAGCAAATATATATTTATACCTGTATGCATATGAAGAGTTCAGATGCAAAAGCCTCTAAATGCCATTTGAAATTTTCTTCTTTAATGATGATTTTTATCAAACTTGTATATTTAAGTTCAGTGATTTCACTTAAATAACAATTAATAGGTAATTATCATTGCCATTTAAGTGAAATCACTGAACTTAAATATACAAGCTTGATAAAAATCATCATTCTAGAGGAAAATTTCAAATGGCACTCAGATCTGAACTCTTCATATATAGACACGAACATTAGAAGATAATTGTTGTTTTTTTATGTCAATGTAACAATAAAGAGCATTATTTACGTGTTTAAGTTTGCGTTTTGCTGATGATGTTTAATCAGGTACAGGTCCAGGCATTCTGGAAGCAGTTCCTCCTCGCGCTCCAGTTCCCGCTCCTCATCTCCTCCTCGCGAGCGCCGATCCAGATCTAGATCCAGATCTTTACGTGGCTCTCGATCCGGTTCACACTCGCCGGAGCCGGACTGGAGCGAGTCTCGCTGCACATGGAAGAGGTCAGTGGGAACAGTGGGAAATCTAGGGCTGGATTCACCCAACTATCACGTTTCTAAGGTGCAGTGTGTAATATTCAGGAGGATCTGTTGACAGAAATGCAATATCATAAACAATATCATGACAATCTTACATAATGAACTGTTATGTGTTTAATTAGCTTAGAATGAAGCGTTTCTCTGTATAAGTGTGTGACGTAGCTTTTCCCGATGGTGTAGTGTTAAAAAAAAGAAAGAAAAGATATTCGCAATACAATATCGTAGCGGCACCCAAGATTCGTGATGGTATCGCATCGGGTGTACCAGCCCTAGTGTTACCGTGATCCTCTGGTGTTGCGAGTCTAAATCAGTGGTTCTCCGCAGTCGCAGACAGAAGGAGCTGATCCGGCTTCGGGAAGAGGCTCGCAAACTCCGCCAGCAGAAAGCCATCGTAAGTCCACGCTTATCTCTCATCAAAGTCGGAGCGGATGTAGAGGAATATTAAGGTTGTTATTTGATCATGCATGTGACCCTGGACCACAAAAAACAGTCACATGGGTCAATTTTTTGAAATTAAGATTTATAAATTATGAATAAATAAGCTTTCCATTGATGTTTGATTTGTTAGGATAGGACAATATTTGGGTGATATACAACTATTTGAAAATCTGGACTAATGGAAACATGTGCATTTATGTTGGCGATTGTGCTGCATTCACGCACAAAACGACATGTGTTATATATTTACGGTAGGAAACTTACAAAACATTATCTTCACTTAATATCCTAATGATTTTCGGCATAAAAGAGAAATCTGATAATTTTGACCCATATAATGTATTGTTGGCTATTCCACAGATAAACCTGTGACTGGTTTGGTGATCTGGGGTCACATGTGTATATAGTTAATAACTGCAGAAGGGATCTTTGGATTTGATTTGTTAAGTTTATCTGTACTCGGTATTTCCCCAATAAAAAAGGATGCTGATGTGTGTGTGATCCTCAGGAGGAGCGTAGGGTTGTGTATGTGGGAGGAATCCGCGGAAACATGTCGCCTTCCGACCTCAAAGATCGATTCTCGCTGTTCGGGAAGGTCGAGGATTGCACAATCCACATCAGGAGTCACGGGTGAGATCCGCTTCAGTTTCTGTTCTGGAAGCTGATTCACACTGCCGTTCAATAGGTTTGCGATCGGTACGATTTTTAATGTTTTTAAAAGAAGTCTCTTCTGCTCACCAAGGTTTGATTTAAATTAAAACAACTGTTATATCATTTATTCCTGTGATCAAAGCTGAATTTATCATTACTCCAGTCTTCAGTGTCACATGACCCTTCACAAATCACTCTAAAATGAGGATCTGATGATCAACACAGTTATGATTATTATCAGTGTTGAAAACAATTTAATTTCTCAGGATTCTTTGATGATTATAAAGTTGAAAAGAACTGCATTTATTTGAAATAGAATCTTTTTGTAATTTTTTGATCAGTTTAATGCGTCCTTGATGAATACAAATATATTTATTTTATTTAATTCCCCCAAATAATTAAATAAAAATTCTTACTGACCCCAAACTTTTTAACCATAGTGTTTAATGTTATAAAAGCTTATATTTCAGATAAATGCTGTTCTTTTCGTCTTTCTATTCATTATAGAATCCTGAAATAGAAATAATAATGTGTGTTGATCATCAGATCCTCATATTAGAGTGATTTGTGAAGGGTCATGTGACACTGAAGACTGGAGTAATGATGATAAATTCAGGAATAAATGACACTTTACTGTATATTCACACAGAGAACAGATGATTTACACTGGAGGAATATTACTCTGTATTTGCTCAAATAAACACAGCCTTGGTGAGATCTAAATATTTTGCCTGGTGGTGTGTGTTCTCAGTGTGTTTCTGTTCTCCTTCTAGAGATAACTACGGCTTCGTCACGTATTACAGCAGAGACGACGCTTACGCTGCCATCGAGAACGGGGGGAAACTGAGGCGCTCAGACGAGCTTCCCTTCGACCTTTGCTTCGGCGGCAGACGCCAGTTCTGTAAATCCAGCTATGCAGATTTAGGTTGGTCTGAATGAATCTCATATTAGCTGTAATGAGCAGGAATACATCGTCTTAAAGGGTTAGTTCACCCAAAAATGAAAATTAAGTCATTAATTACTCACCCCCATGCTGTACCAACCCCGTAAGACCTTCGTTCGTCTTCGGAACACAAATGAAGATATTTTTGATTAAATTTGAGAGCTGTATAACTACCACATTGGCTCCTAAAGGACTGCCTCTTGACGGCCCAGAAAGTCCATGAAGAAAATGTTTAAATATCCCAAGTGACTACCGTGGCTCAACTATATGTTTATCAAGCGACGCAAATACTTTTTGTGCGAAAAAACAAACAAAAATAACGAGTTTATTCGACTATTTCTTTTCTTCCTTGTAGGCCAGAACGAGACTTCCTTATAGATTTCCACGACGCATGCGCGAGAATTGCGATCTAAGCTGGTGTAAGCTGGTGTGAGCAGATCGCAATTCTCGCGCATGCGTCGTGGAAATCTATAAGGAAGTCTCGTTCTGGCCTACAAGGAAGAAAAGAAATAGTCGAATAAACTCGTTATTATTGTTTGTTTTTTCGCACAAAAAGTATTCTCGTCGCTTGATAAACATATAGTTGAGCCACGGTAGTCACATGGGATATTTAAACATTTTCTTCATTGACTTTCTGGGCCGTCAAGAGCCAGTCCCTTAGGAGCCAATGTGGTAGTTATACAGCTCTCAAATTTAATCAAAAATATCTTCATTTGTGTTCCGAAGACGAACGAAGGTCTTACGGGGTTGGTACAGCATGGGGGTGAGTAATTAATGACTTAATTTTCATTTTTGGGTGAACTAACCCTTTAAGCACAACCGAAGTCGAACCTCATCTTTGACCACCAAAATGACATTTTCAAAGTTGTTTACTTAAAAAAAATGTCTTAAAATATCTTAATACTCGACACCCTCGCCTCATTTAGTATATGCGGTTCTATGAATATGCAAATGAGCCCCGCCTCCACTCCAGTCTGATTGGTTACAAGGTGGCTTGTGACGTCAGAAAGTGTGTTTTTGAGACTGTCTTTGGTTCACTGCAGTTTTAAGGAGGAAATACTCAGTCCACTTATGAACTTACACATGGTTTAAGCGTATTAAAAACACCATATAGACACATAAACAACATTAAACGCTGGATTTACACCACAGGGGGACTTTAAATCATTGATTGTGATGTGATTGGATTCTGATGCAGCTTATAAAAATGGAAGTTTTTCATTCCTGATATCTTGTATTTTAGATTCTCACCGAGACGTCGATGGCTCGCCGAGGAGCCGATGCGAGTCGTTCGACTTCGACTCGCTTCTGAAACAGGCTCAGAGACAGAAGAGGTAGCGGCGAAGACTCGACGTCCCTTCAGAGCACTGAAACGAACCAATTTACCTGAATCAGCTTAAATCGACAATTTAATTGCTGGTTTCCAGTTCAGTTTTGGACACTTTCGTTCTGGTTTTGGCTGGTCTCTCATCATGACTCACTTGCAATGAAACTAGCTTGTTCCAGTAACTGTTCAAACTGGTTTAAAGGAGTATTCTGGGTTTAGCACAACTATTAAAGGGATAGTTCACCCAAAAATAAAAACTACTCTCTACTAAAAGTAATTACTCTCCCTCATGTTGTTCAACCTCGTAAGACTTTCGTTCGTCTTGATATCTTTTATAACTTTCTGGGCCGGTTTCAATAACACAGAAGCCTCTGGAGGAGTGAACTCTCGGATTTAATCAAATATCTTCATTTGTGTTCGGAAGATGAACGAAAGTCTTACGGGGATGAACAACATGAGGGAGAGTAATTGGTGAACTATCCCTTTAACTTCATCTGTAATTGATAAACGCTCTTACATTAGGAGTCAATGCCGTACAGATGATGTTTATAGAGATTTACTCGAGTTGTTTTTCAGAAGAGTCATTTGCACTTCACTAAACTGACTTTCTTACTTGACAGTAAAAACCTTCTGTTGAAGTTTTGTTGTTTATAAATTTTGTACATAAGAATGGAACGCATTACAGGATGAAATCATCATCACGGAAGGACAATGGTGAATGGTTTGTCTTCTATATCTAGTCTGACGTTTTTTTTGTTTTTTTTTAAGTGATACCAAAAATGTTTTCTCATCTTTCTCAGTTGGAATGATGAAGCTATAACTAAATAAAAAAAAAAGTTTATGTACTAATAAAGTCTGACCTCTCTTCTGTTACACTAAACTTTTATACAATGTATGTAAAACTTTTACAACCCACATGAAAATACCACTAGATTACAATAACGCTAGACTGCTGGGAAATTAACCGCTTTACTGCCGTTTTGGCCATAGATGTGAAAATTACCCAAACTAAAATGGTTGTTATTCATGAATTCTTTGGAATAAAGACCTAAAGTTGGTCTCTTCTTAAAGACACTTTATTGCTAAAGTGAAAGCAAATTAAAACAAATAAGTTTACTTTAAAACAAATGTACTAAACATTATATTGTTATTATTTTAATACAAAATATGTATTTTATAAAATCATTTTCTACTCTAAAAAAAAGCCATATGTCTAAACAAGTTGTGTTCCAAATATGAAATTGATTTCACAAAATTGGAGGTTCCTGTGAGTTTTTGTTTTAGGTGCTATACCAGAAATAGCAACCGGGTTCATTTTTTTAATGTGTTCTCTGGCTAATAATTAATACATTTCTGTCACAATATCACTTCTATGACAGAACAGCCATCAAATATGGGACCTTGAGTCTTTCCGATGATGCGTTTTTTTTTGTCAAAATATATATATAAAAAAAATTGAGCCTGATAATAATAGCTTTTAAGCAATGTCAAATTTCAACTTTTATTTTTTTAAGTTAAGCTTTCGAATGATAATTATGATGATTACTAAAATATGTGACAGAAAAAAGGCATTAAAAAGAGCGCCAAACGATGACAGTGGAGGGCGTAAATAACCCTATACTAGTTAAGGTAATTGTGCAAGTATGTTTTACCACAGGCATGACAACTAATCTAAAATACAGAAACAAACTAGAAAATGTTCAACGGGATAAAAAAATACAAATTAAAAGACTAGTTTTATTTAGACTAGACATAATTATTTACAATTATTTTATGTATTAATACTAGGCTCTACATGTGTTTGAGGAGAACTGACTTCATACATCCATAAAAAATCATCAAAAAGTCTTGAAGAGAAAAATGTCCAGGATTTGAACAGGTGATTTTGTCATACATTACCCGATTTGTGCAAATTGAAGAAAAAAATAACACTAAACAACAGAATTCATAAAATATCCACTTACTGACGGTTTGTCCTGTTTTCCCGCTAAATGGATGTCAGGTGCTGGAGAGCTTCATTAAGAACCAGCAAAACCTGTAAATTAATTACCAATTAAAACAATATTCACAGGAAAATATGCTTAGTTTGTAACATTCTGCGAAAATAAATTAGTATACATACGTTTTCTAAACAAAAGGTCAGTTTTCCATTGTATAACGTTAAGTTTGTGAGGCGCCATGAGGAAAACAAACATCCACTCACCAACTAAAGCAGGTAAATGATTTAAATTCACCTTTATTTTTACTTCAACTAGCCATTTCCAAGTATTTCTAAAAACAAATATTTAAATATTTTTAGATTCCCTTTTTTATCAACTTTTTATATCGTTTATTTATGTGGAATACCTTTAAACTGCTGTAGAGTTGCAGAGCTGGCGCGCGGGGGCGGGGCTGTGCACATGTGGGCGGGGTTTATTTGACAGCTGAGGAACCGCGCATGCGCGAACGTGTGACCACGCGTACAATAAGGAAGCGGAGGGATTATAAACATAAACATCAAACCAAACAGCTGAGTGTGTGTCAGCAGATGCGGAGAGATCGTCGAGCGAGTTCAGAACCATCACAGAGCTGCATGCGGTCATATCTGATTGATCAGCTTATATCGATCTGCTGAAACCAGGAATCATGTCCAAGAAAAACAAGATGTTCCTGAGTGGAGTGGTCGAGGGTGAGCCACTAATAACTTGATGATATAAATAATTAATGTTAAGCTTAATGCTTTTACTCTGCGAAATGTATTTTAAAAATGTACTGGAATACTATTACTACTACTACTAATAATAATAATACACAGAATGTATAATAATGTAGGGCATATAAAAGAAATACACTATAAAAATAATACATGTATAGTTTAATATATTTATAATAATATAATTAGTTAACTGCATTTCTGTTGCATTTCTTTAGAATTTAGTGTAATCTTCTTGTAACTTTGATTGATGTTTTATTGAGGCGTGTCTGTGATCATGTGACCTGTGTTGCAGGGTTTTATGGGAGGCCGTGGACTATGAGCCAGAGAAAAGAGCTCTTCAGGAGGTGAATAAACCAGCGTTATCAGATGTCATCGTGTGTTATCAGTTCATTTATCTCACCTGTGTGTGTGCGTATATCTCATTATCTTCCCAGGGAGCAGAAATGGGGCTTGAACGCATATCTATACGCTCCGAAAGATGATTACAAGCATAGGATGTACTGGAGAGACCTGTATTCCCTGGAGGAAGCAGGTGACTGCCAAACTCAAGCTTTACAACGAGTAAAATATCCGCTTTCGTTCACTGTGTTTCATATTTCATCCGAATGCTGTGAAACTTGGTGACTTTAATGGCATTTTGAATGTGAACACAAGACAAAAATTGAGGGCAAGATTTGACCAGACACTTGTCTTAAGTCAAAAATGACGACCGTAGGAAATGAATGAGAAATCAACCAAAACAAAGAGAAGAAATTCAAAAAAAAAAAAAAAAAATCAAACAAAAATTAAATGTAATTTTGTGTGTACAATCTACAAATTGGCCAGCAATGACCGACCGTACGAAAGGAAATGAATGAGAAATCAACCAAAACAAAGAGAAGAATTAAAAAAAAAAAAAATTCAATGTAATTTTATGTGTACAATCTACAAATTGGCCACAATGCTGAATAAAGTGTACAGCAGGAAAGGGATGACATTGAAAGCGTTCAGTTATGAAAGTTATCAAGCAAACGGGGGGCCTGTATCAGGACATCGAATCTGAAGATGAACTCGGCGATTGTGTTTTACAGATCAACTCACGACGCTGATCTCTGCTGCTAAAGAGCATAACGTGGAGTTCATCTACGCTTTATCACCCGGCCTGGACATCACCTTCTCAAACCCTAAAGAAGTGGCGGCGCTCAAGAGGAAACTGAGACAGGTGCAAACATCAGCTCTTTCCATCACAGCTCAAACACACACACTAATGTCCTCATGATCTCCACCGCAGCTTCAGCTCTTCCTCTCTCCTCTCTAAGCCCCGCCTCTCTGAGAGCTGCTCTGCTCTGATTGGCCATTATCATATCTGACTGTCAGCTCTTGATCACAGTGATGCGAACAGTGGCGATGGCGTGGGTTTCAACCGTCTCAGTCTCAGAGAGCAGCGTCTCCTCGACACGAACAACACGAACCGAACTCTTCCAGTCTCAGAGACACTAGTGTTTGAGGGCGGGGCTAAGAGACGCTGTTCAGCCAATCAGGACCACAGGCTGGCATTATGCTAATTAGCGACAAACCAACAGGATCAGGAGGAAGAGAGACTGAATTACTGATGACTCGTTTCAGTTCAGAATTGAATATTAGGGCACTCTAATGAACAATTATTGTGTTAGTGTTTAGTAATGTACCTGTGTGTGTGTGTGTGTGTGTGTGTGTCCTGCAGGTGTGTGAGTTCGGCTGCCGGTCGTTCGCGCTGCTGTTCGACGACATCGAGTCTGAGATGTGTGCTTCTGATAAAGAGGCGTTCAGCTCGTTCGCTGAGGCACAGGTGTGTGTGAGCAACGAGGTGTTCCTGCACCTGGACCAGCCGCACACCTTCCTCTTCTGCCCCACCGGTACACAACTACACACACACACACACAACTACACACAACTGCACACACACACAACTACACACAACTGCACACACACACAACTACACACAACTGCACACACACACAACTACACACAACTGCAAACACACACACAACTGCACACACACACACACAACTACTACACACAACTGCACACACACAACTACACACAACTGCACACACACACAACTACACACAACTGCACACACACACAACTACACACAACTGCACACACACACACACACACAACTGCACACACACACAACTACACACAACTGCAAACACACACACAACTGCACACACACACAACTACACACAACTGCACACACACAACTACACACAACTGCACACACACACAACTACACACAACTGCACACACCTGTACACACACAACTACACACAACTGTTCACACACAACTGCACATACCTGTACACACACAACTGCACACACACAACTGCACACACACACAACTGCACACACCTGTACACACACAACTACACACAACTGTTCACACACAACTGCACATACCTGTACACACACAACTACACACACACAACTGCACACACACAACTACACACAACTGTACAAACACAACTGCACATACCTGTACACACATAACTACACACATAACTACACACACAACTGCACACACAACTGTACAAACACAACTGCACAAACAACTGTACACAACTGCACACACAACTGCTCACACACAACTGCATTATTTACTCTATTTTATTTTTATTTTTTTTTTAATTCTAAACTGTTTTAATTATTCTGATTTCTTTTGATTATTTTAATTTCTTCCATGTAAAGCACTTTGAATTGCCATTGTGTATGAAATGTGCTATATTTAAATAAACTTGCCTTGCCTACACACAACTGCACACACACAACTACACACAACTGTACACACAACTACAAACACAACTTTACACAACTGACAGAAAACACACTGTAAAAACATACACTTTTATTTCATTTACTCTAAACCAACGCAGCTTTTCTCATTTTTATAAGTATAACATAATAAAACTACATTAGAAAATTTAGAATTAGAAATTAAATCTAAAAACAGATTTTTTTTCTAAAAACTATATAGGCATTAAAAAAATACAGCAAAATTACTACAACATTAATTTAATTAAAAAAAAAAAATAGAAAATGTAATTAAAAATCTTAACAAAAACTATAATAGTATTCTATTAATATATAATACCATATACAGTATTACAAAAATAAATTAAATGTAAATAGCTAAAATATGAATAAATGATAAATAATTGAATACAAAAAAATTTAATATAAATAGCAATACTTAATAAATATATATATATATATATATATATAGAGAGAGAGAGAGAGAGAGAGAGAGCGAGAGAGAGAGTAAAATGATAAAAGCACATAGCCAACTGACAAAAAAATGACCTAAATTAAGTTGAAAACTAAAAACTCAAAATATGAATAAAACTAAACTAACGCTGTTGCACACATTCAAACATGTATAGAGTATCTGCAAACATATGGACATTTTCCACAGTTCAGTTCAACTATAACCTTTACCTGTAAAACTGTGCTGTATTGCAGATTACTGCGCTGCGTTCTGCTCGCCCAGTGTCCCGCTGTCTGCGTATCTGAACACGGTCGGGGAGAAGCTCAACGCGGGCATCGACGTCCTCTGGACAGGTGACATCATCACTCATTCCCAGAGAGCATTGGGTGACAGTTTACCAAACGGTCCACTAGTTACTGTAGATGAACAATACATGTGTTTATTAATCCGTGTTAATGTTAGTTAATAATAATCCAGCTGTTCATTGTGCAGTAACTAACTAATGTTAACAAACATGTCCTTTGATTTTAATAATGTATTAGTAAATGTTGAAATTAATATTAACTAAGATTAATAAATACTGTAGAAGTACTCAGTTCGTATTAACTAACGAACCTTGTTGTAAAGTGTTACAGAGAAATCTGTACATGCATATTTTTCCATTTTGTTCATTTTCAGTGTTGAAGCCTGCTTCATATTTTTGTATAAACCGTTTTCAGGATTGGTTTCGATTTCTTTGGCAGGGCCGAAGGTGGTGTCGCAGGACATCAGTGTGGCGTCTATAGACGAGGTGTCGGCCGTTCTGAGGAGACCGCCGGTCATCTGGGACAACATCCACGCCAACGACTACGACCCGCAGAGACTCTTCCTCGGACCCTTCAAGAACCGGCCCGCAGAACTCATCCCCAAACTCAGGGGCGTCCTCACTAACCCCAACTGTGAATTCGAGCCCAATTTCGTTGCAATTCACACTCTGGCCACATGGTGCAAGTCCAGCTACACGCAGAAAGACGTTCCTATGGGTAAACATGACTCATGTGAATAAAATATGACATATGAATATGAAATATACGTTATTGTCCCTGATAAGGGGAATTTGTAATGGACTCCATAGCCAGAATTTCATGATGCATTAAAAAATTACACTAACTCTGTTGAACTATGTTCATATCTGATCACACTTTATAGACTGATAACCAAGGGATGGGTCTATGTATAATAAGTACATTTAGATTTGTCTATACTTGAAATAACGTTCGGTTGAAATGTAAGAGAGCGTTTCCCTCGTGTAATGATGTCATCGCCCAACAGATGGAGACGACGGGTCGGACTACAACCCCCATGATGCTTTGCAGCTCGCACTCACTGACTGGCTGGTGGAGTTCGGTCGAGCCAATCAACCTGACGGTAAAAACAACTCCAACATCACGTGTGCTATCCTTAACTTATAACCAATCAGATCAAAGTGAGGTCGTCAGCTGAGTGAGTGGAGGCGGGGCTCATTTGCATATTCATAGAATCGCGCATACTAAATGTGTGTAAGGCAAGGGTGTCGAGTTACATTCAAGATATTTTAAGACTGAGTAATTGTCATTTTGGTGAGTTTTAGAGGATGAAATGATTGACCACAGGGGACTTTAACGCTAAATAAACGTTTTCTTTCATTTTGAGATGGCGTGTGACTGATTGCGCACTGACTGTGTTTAGGCTCTGGCGCTCGCGGCTCTAAACGAGACGAAGAGGAGCCGATGCAGACGGACGGATACGAGCCGGGTCCCAAAGACAACCCGCTGTACACGGCCGAGCCGCTGACGCTAGCGGACCTGACGCTGCTAGCGGAGCTCTTCTATCTGCCGTACGAACACGGGCCCACCGCCATCGTCATGTTGCAGGAGCTGCACTGGCTGCGATCCGACCGCGAGGCAGAGAAGGTCCGAGTGTGATGATGATGATCCCCAAGTATCAACATAATTTTTTTTAACATTCAGGCTTGTATTTATTACGTGTTCGAGAGTTTAGCACTGAGACCCTGTTGCAATTGTTAGAATCGGCCTGATGGTGGCGCTACAGCGGTGAAAAGTACGTAATAGCTCTTAACTCCTAAACCATTCGTGCTCAAGTGTTTTATATCGTTGGAATCCTTGGCTCAAAACGGACTCTGATTCGTTACCTTTCACATTTCAATTTATGTCCGCAACGGGACGCCAAAACGTTTGAAGTGGGCGTGGCCACTTTTACTAAAACGTCTATAACTCTAGAACGGAAAGAGAGAATTTCACCAAACTTGGTACAGCTGTGTATGGGCTCGGTCTGTGGTCTTTCGAAAAAGGGCACGGCAGCTGCCCACTTGGTGGCGCTATAAACCAAAATTGGCTATAGCTACACAACAGTCAGGCTGATTGACTTGAAAACTGGCATGCGGTTTCTTTGACCAAGGTGATTGTCTACGAGGACATTTGCGTATCAAAAAAAAATGGCCGCCGTCAGCCAATGAAATTAGCTGTCAGACAAGGTTAACGGATTACTTACTTTCGCAAAACTAGTCCGAGGCTTTTGGCTCAACCTTGTTAACTGTTATTTACTGTTATAAAACATATTTCCATAGTAATTTGCCTTTTCAAATAGTAATATTTTACTAACCTTAATGATTAATAAAACTATACATACATTTTGCATATCTAGCTAATGAATTTATTAACTAATGTAAACAAATAAGACCTTATTGTAAAATGTTACCAATAAAATAGCTATTGAGGTTTTGTAAATTAAGGAAAATCATTTTTTTTAACCGATTATTGGAATTAATCTCATTAGTAAATAGTTATTTTTTTGTTTCGTTAGAGTAATTTGCCTGTCTTGGCTGTAAATGGTCTTTTCCATTGATCTCTGATCTTGGCTCGCTAGATAAAACATACCTTTTTAAGCATGTATTATATTGTATTGTAAAAAGCGCAACAGTTGTCCCGCCCCTGCTTCTTTCTGATTGGTCCTATGTAAATGTACTCATAGAATGCAATACATTTTGCTTTGGATGAAAGCGTCTTTCAAATGCATAAATGTAAGTGTGTTGCAGGGCGAAGAATGGCGACGGAGAGCCGAGAAGTTCGACGACATGTGCGGCGCCGTAGTCCAGATGTTCAACCGACTGTCCAATGTGCCCAACAGAGTCATCCTCTATGACCTTTACAATTACATCTGTGACATCAAGAGCGGCGTCACCATGGCCAAAGCCTACGTCAAAACACTGGGTACGTGAGACGGAGTGTGTGATCGGTGCCAGTCGCCGGTCCTGTGCAGTATTGTGTGACACTCATTACAAGTAACTTGAGTAATCAGATTACTTTTGTAAGTAACTAGTAAAGTAATGTATTACTTTTTCATTTTACAACAAAATATCTAAGTTACTTTTTCAAATGAGTGATGCTAGTTACTTTTTCACATTGTCATGCTGAGAGAAATAAAGTGTGTGTGTGAACATGATGGTTATTTTAGTTCTAGAAATGTGAACATGTATTTACTCGTCTCACTTGCACGAAAACGTTCAGTATTTCTCAAAATGCATAAAAACAGTAAAATGGAATCACCAAAGTTTACGCAAAACATTTATAATGAACTATATTAAATTACACAAATATACTTTATGTATTTAATCTCTGGGAGTAACACAATATTGTAACGCATTACTTTTCATAAAATGTAACTAAGTAGTTACTTTTTCGGAGTAACACAAAACACATCGCTGTCCTGAATGAGCCGTAACGAAGCGTCTGCTGTTTTGCCGCAGGAGGCCGAACGCCTCACCCTGCACTGGCTTTGACTGACGATCCCGAGCCGTGGGGTTTCAGAGGCGCTTTATCTGGAGAATTCCAGGTACGCTTTTGTATGACACTGACCTTTGACCTGTGACTGGACCTCCAGATCCTGATGATGTTTGTGTTCCTCGCGGTGTTTAGCGGATGCTGCCGTCACATGGGAACCGGGACCTGTTTCGCAGTCCTCCCGCCACGCGCGTTTACACCATTCGGCCCTGCACTCCTAAAGATCAGGTGACACGCTCTTAAAGCGACAGTACACATTTCATTTATCACTGTTGAAAACAGTCGTGCTGCTTCAGATTTTGTGCTTTCAGCTTTGATCACAGGAATAAATTACACTTTACTATATATTCGAATTCACCACATTTTTCATTATAATAATATTTAGCTCTTTTTACTGTATTTTTTATCAAATAAATGCTGCCCTAGTGAGTAGAAGAGACTCTTTCAAAACATTAAAAATAATAATTATTCCAAACTTGACTGGTAATGCACGTCAATGGAAATGACAATTCTTCTCAACATCTTCTGTGTGTGTTGTTCAGCCGGAGGTGATGAAGATCTTTAAAGAGATGCAGACGGAGACGCAGCAGAAGATCGAGCTGGTCGGCGACCGGTGAGAATATCCCAGTTCGATTAGTTTATATTTTATATTATATTAGTTTATATTATATAATTTTTCCGATTTGAATATATATGTGAAATAACTCATAATACAGAGTTTTTTGTCACTGAACGCGTAATGAAAGCTGTGTCTTCGTCAGGCTGGTGGAGGGTCACGTCACGCCGACACAGAACTGCAGTCTGATACTAGATGATGCTTCTGGGGTTTGTGGTTACGTGTTCGCCCTCAGTGATGCAAAGACGGCCATGACTAAAGCTCAGGTATGGAAATGACATCTAGACTGATTATAATGTTTCCTTTTACACTGTTGATGTAGTTTTCAGGCTCTTCTAGAACTTGAATGTTGATTATTCTCCTCATATTCTCCATTGTTGCGGCTCCTCTCTTCCCAGTCTGTCAGTAACGCTCTGTTTACTTCCTGTCTCTATGAAGCCCCTCCTCCGGCTGGAGCAGTGTGTGGTGATTGGTCGAGCGCTTCGTGTGTGAACTCTGTGTTTTTCATGTCTCCAGTATCCAGAGACGATGCTGCAGGATTACCCATCAGTCATGGCTCTTCAGATCCACTCGAAAGTTCCCGATCACACCGCAGCGAAGCGTCTGATTCTGCAGGTGCTGTCAGCGCTGAGAGACAGCGGTGAGTTCTCAGCGGTCCCATAATGCCCTGTTCACCAGATGTGAAATAAGACTCTGATAGTTTCAGCTCAAATACCCCACAGATATTTATATAACATGTTAAAATTGTCACTTTTTGAGGGTGAGCAACAACACACCGTTTTTGTGTGTGTCCCTTTAAATGCAAATGAGCTGCTGCTCCCGGCACAGGGGGCGGAGCTACGAGACCTAGTGTGTCCTGAACATTTCAAAAGCGTTTATCCTTTAATGTTGAAAGCGGAGTCAAAGATGAGCGACTCTAGAAGTGCCGACATGTAGAAGCAACAGGACATTTCTGAACGGTTAGTTGATGAGTTTATGCAGCTGATGTGGAGTTCACCATCCTCAAGTCATTGATTAGCATATTCTGTCATGATCATCTATAAACCGTGTTCCGGGGGCGGGGCTTATGGAAATGTTAGTGTTTGTGATGTCACTAACCGGTGAAGAAGCTCATTGTAGTTCCTACCAGCCGTTTGTTGTACTTGTAGTCCTTAAAAAGTGATTTCTCTCCCTTTGCTTTGAGTCGTAACTTTGCCGATGTTGTTTTCTCAGGCTCTAAAGGGGTTTTCAGCGAGTTCAGATCCAACGACAGACGAATGTTTGACTTCTTGAAGACGCTGAACGTGTTCCAGGTGCTTAAAGTCGAAGGCCTTCCACCAAACCTGGTCATGATGGGAACTAAACTTTGATGCAATCACACACTCATCTCGTGTTTTGGAAATCTGTATAAAAGTCATGAACATGAGTAATAAATTATGATCAGTTCTGTACTGCAGGAAGAAATCAAGCTGTCTCGAATTAAAAATAAATCTTTATTTGCATATTCATTTTAATACGCATATATCTCACCATTAATGGCATAAATCAAAGACGTATCGTATAAACATGTCCAGTGTAGTTCTTAGACTAAAAATAAAAAGCACTAAAGCCAGTAACAAATAAAACACGAACACTTCCCAATGAGCTTTCGTTTGTGAACGTTAGTTAACTGCATTAGAACAGCATGACTTTTGTTAACTTAAATAAAACAACAATTATATTTTACTAACCTTAAAGATTAATAAATACATATTGCATATATAGCTAATGCATTAAGTAACGTTAATGCATGAGACCTCATTGTAAAAATGTTACCAATAAAATAGCTCTTGAGGTGTGTAGTTTAAAAAAAGGCATTTTTAAGACAATTATAGGAATTATTCTCATCATATTTTCAATGCACACATTTCTTGAGATGTCCTCTATATTGCATGTTTCCCTTCAGTCCCCTGAGCTTCTGTAGTGAGAGTGCAGTGTGTGTTCGGTATAATCATGACGTTCACACCCCATCTTTACACCACGTCTGATTTTGGTCCCGCCCGTTTACATTCACTTCCGTCAGTGTAAACCGGCCCTAAAAGGTCGTATTCTCCGTGCCAGAGTAAACGATGAACTCCAGACCGTCATATTTGTGTATTTACATCAGGGTCCAAACACACAACTTTGCGATGCTGTTTGCAAATGTTCATTTGGACTCGTTTAAGTATCCTGATAACGACGGAACTCGCGACCATATTTGGCTAACGATGCTTTCGGGAAACACACACCAGATCGGATCGGTGTCAGACTGAGTAAAGATGGGGTTGTGTGTGTGTAGTGTGTAAACGCAGCCTATATGAACTCCAGACCTTCATACTTGACGTCCCCGATTTTGGTGTCGGGCAGCAGGATTCGCCCGTCCAGCGTGAAGGCGGTGATGTAGCTAGCGATCCGCCCCGCGTCCTCCTGGGACTTGAGCGCTAGTATGATCTGATCGTCGGTGTCCGGGATGAACCTGAAGGAGGAGAAGCCGAGCGTGGGCTGGAGCGTGCCGACGCGAGCCGCTGAGATCTGGCTGAAGTCGCGCGAGCAGCTCAGGATCAGGTTCGTGCCGCGCCGCTCGTCTGCCGTCTCCTCGTAGCGTTCGGAGCTCGCGCGGCGCGGGAGGAAGAACCAGCGCTGGAGACGCTCGCTCCACACGCCAGACTCGTGGATCAGATAACCTGACAACACACATTACATTACAATACAACATAAGATTATACAGTGGTGTGAATAAGTGTTGACACCCATGCTAAAGTTGCCGAAAAAGAGGAATAAAAAAATCATCTTTTGGATATTGATCTTAATGCCTTAATTAGAAAAATGAGGAAAACTCCAACCTTTAAGGACACAAATTTTCTTTGTGAATGAATAATGTATCATAAATAAATAAATGTTTTTCCTTAAAATACAGGGTGCATAAGTCAGGGCACCCCTATGTTAAATTCCCATAGAGTCAGGCAGATTTTTATTTTTAAAAGCCAGTTATTTCATGGATCCAGGATAATATGCATATTAATATAAATATTAAATATCCCCACATCATCACACACACCTTCCACCACACCTAGAGATTGGCATGGTTTTACTTCAGTTAGCCTAATAGCTGGTTTGATTTGCATTGAAAGATGATCTTATGGAAAGTACCCCAATGCCGATCTCTCGGTGTGGTGGAAGGTGTGTGATGATGTGGGGATATTTTAATCCCAAAGGCCAAGGGAACTTTATCAGGATGCATATTATCCTGGATCCATGAAATAACTGGCTTTTAAAAATAAAAATCTGCCTGACTCTATGGGAATTTAACATAGGGGTGCCCAGGCCCAGACTTATGCACCCTGTATTTTAAGGAAAAACATTTATTTATTTACGATACATTATTCATTCACAAAGAAAATTGGTGTCCTTAAAGGTTGGAGTTTTCCTCATTTTTCTAATTAAGGCATTAACATCAATATCCAAAAGATGATTTTTTATTCCTCTTTTTAGGCAACTTTAGCATGGGTGTCCAAAACGTATTCATTCCACTGTACATTCTCTCTCTCTTTCTTCTCTATACACATTTTAGGTTTAGGGGTCAGATTAGTGTGTGTGTGTGATGGGTAGGTTTAGGGGTCGGTGTGTGTGTGTGTGTGTCCACTCACCGGGTGGTTGGATCTCCGCTGCCTTCTTCAGGGCGTTATACCTCGGCACCCAGTTCTCGTGCTCCACGTCACCATTGAAGCCGACCACCTTCACCCACTCGGGGTCGTTATTGACGAACTCTCCGCTGACGGTCGTCCACTCCTTCCCGAGACCCCCGACATACAGCCGCTCGTCCTTCACTGCCATCCACTCCGCTTTAAAGCCTGCAGGCGGGGGTCAAAGGTCATACTTTTGAGCAAGACAATGAGAATGTGCATCTGACTGATCCATTCCTTATAGTGTCTGATAAGATCATAGGAAATACACTACCAGTCAAAGCTTTGGGATCAGTAAGGTTTTTAAAAGTCTCTTCTGCTCACTAAAGCTGCATTTATTTGATAAAAAAACACAGTAATATTGTGAAAAAAATATTCTAATGTAAATGAATATACAGTAAAGTGTAATTTATTCCTGTGAATAATTTATCATCATTACTCCAGTCTTTAGTGTCACATGACCCTTCACAAATCACTCTAATATGAGGATCTGATGATCAACACACAGTTATGATTATTATCAGTGTTGAAATTTTTTTCAGGATTCTTTGATGATTATAAAGTTGAAAAGAAGAACTGCATTTATTTGACATATAATCTTTTGTGACATTATAAATGTCTTTAGTTTACGGTCACTTTTGATCAATTTAATTCGTCCTTGATGAATAAAAGTATTGATTTATTTTATTTAATTCCCCCCAAAAATAAAATCGTACTGACCCCAAACTTTTGAACGGTAGTGTTTAATGTTTAAAAAGCTTCTATTCCAGAAAAATGCTGTTCTTTTAACTTTTTAAATAACCGTTTCCAACACTGATAATAATCATAAATGTGTGTTGATCATCAGATCCTCATATTAGAGTGATTTGTGAAGGGTCATGTGACACTGAAGACTGGAGTAATGATGATAAATTCAGGAATAAATGACACTTTACTGTATATTCATTTACATTAGAATAATTTTGTCACAATATTACTGCGTTTTTTATCAAATAAATGCAGCTTTAGTGAGCAGAAGAGACTTGATGATAATGCGAACTTGAGTAATGATGAAAAATTCAGGAATAAATTACACTTTACTGTATATTCACATTGAGAACAGATGATTTACACTGAAATAATATATGAAGAGTTCAGATGCAAAAGCCTCTAAGTGCCATTTGAAATTTTCTTCTAGAATGATCATTTTTATCAAGCTTGTATATTAATTGTTATTTAAGTGAAATTACTGAACTTAAATATACAAGTTTGATAAAAATCATCATTAAAGAAGAAAATTTCAAATGGCATTTAGAGGCTTTTGCATCTGAACTCTTCATATACAGTTTAATCACATGAGCACAGATCCGATCCAAATCGTGTAACAGAAACACCGTTACCTTTCGAAACACTCCCGTCTCCATCGGTCAGGATGACCCAGGGCACGGCTCGGTTTCCCTCGATCCGGTACACGACACCGGTCCGGTCATCCACGCTGTACAGGTGCCCGTTAAACGCCACCAGCTCGGACAGCTCCATCCCCCGGCCCTTCTCCGACAGATGAGAGTCCAGAACCAGCGAGTCCGAGTCCCAGTCCACCGACACACTGTCCCCGCTCTCGGACACCAGGACATATCCTCGCTTCAGGAGACTGAACCACGTGTTGGCCTTCTGGCTGCGCGAGTCCGTGTCCAGGTCCGCGATCACTCCGATCCGGTACCGGATCCCCCTAGCCGTGTGTTCTGGAGGACTGAGCGGATACGTGTCGTTGTAACGCGATTGGGTCTCCATCACACCGGACACGTCCCGGCTGGAACGCCACGAGCGCCGGCTCTCGGACCGGGTCTCGGAGGAGCCGGATGACGAGTTCTGGTGCCGGTACAGGAGTACGCCGGCCGCTAGCAGAGTCGCTACGGTGATGGCTCGCCATCGGAACCGGAACCGGGGGTCGGAGACGGAGCTGGAGGAGAACATGGAGTCGCCGGGAACGGGATCCCGCATCGGGTCACGGCTCCCTGCTGACACACAGAAGACGAACAACAGTCATTTCACAGTTTGTAAATCCTAGATTTCATGCAAGACTAAACCACCGTCCATTTCGCTTTTATAACACAGAAAACATCCAAAAGTGTTTATTTTATTGCACTCGATCTCTCTGCGTCTGTCCATCTTTAAAGTCAGTGAGTTTCAGTTTTATTCGTATCTATAATCTGAAGGGCTACAGTATCATTCGCCTGATTTATATGGTGAAAATTAATTTATTTCTGTCTTTAATGGAAACAGAAATCTCCAACAATGTGTCAACTGAATCAAACCAGAATCAGGCATCATCCAATGTCCATATTTACATGCATATTTAATAAGATCACGCCTATTTTGCATATTCAAACATAAAATTCACAACAGTCGCCTACTAACCAACAGCAAGTCTGAGTTTATATTCGTCTGAGATTTCCCAAATCAGATCCTTAAGGAACGGGAATGCGGATCATATACCAAACCGGATATGTGTGACTGCCTCAATGCATGAAATACAGAGGAAATAATAAAGAAGAATTTCAAATTAATTCTCAAACAATCATAGAAAACATGCAGGTCCATAAAATGATGGAAATCAGGTGCGCGCACACACAATGTAGCCCATTAAATAATAAGATAAGACCTTTTGCATGTTTTCCCAGAACAATAAGCGCTGAAACGACAGCAAACACCACTGTAATGAAGACACGAGGGAGTTCAGCACTAAACACGACCAGTCCGAGTCATTACTACACACACTCCGTTGAGTTATTAACACGCCAAGCGACATCACATGACCCTCTGCGTCAGAAAACATGCTTCACCTGTGAAACGCGAACCTCTCACACAACCCCAGGTGTACCACCAGTGCAAACAACTCAGCAAATCAAATTCATATTTACTTCTCTCAAACATTTATGCAAATCATTATATGTAAAAAATAAATAAATAAATGCAAAAACACTACTTTCACTAGCAGATGAACCCGGCTGTATGTAAAATAAAATGACTCAATGATCATTCCCCCCAAAAAATATATTTCTTAGTAAATAAATCACTTTTTTTTATCCAACTGTGTGTAAAAAAATATAAAACTACTCAATCACTCCTGAAAAAAAAAGTTTCTTAGTAAATAAATCACATTAGAAGCAGTTTTAATGTCCAGATATTCAACTAAACTCACTTTTCATCTCCAAAAACACACCAATATAGTAATTGTAAATAGTAATAAATAAATAAAGCACTACTGAAGAGGATCGGATGATTCTCTACCTCTCTTTCTGCCTCTCATGTCTGTGTGTGTGTCCGTCTCTCTCTGTCTCTCGTGTCGTTATTATCAGCGTCTCCCAGCGCTCATCTGAGATCATTGAGCCGAGCAACAGTGACGAGGCGAACACTGAACCCTTACCTACTGAACACACATTAACCTTCACACACCGCACCGGTGCGGAGCTGCTCTTCTGTGCCAGAGGTTACAGGTATAAACCCTAGAAAACACTCTAAACCTGTAACAAAACACTCTAAAGCCTTCAGAAATGTGAAACTTATTGAGTTCATGTGTGCCCCGCGGATTAAAGACTCGGTCTAAAAATGATTTGTACAGACAGACTGTTTTTGCGATCTCACAAATGGTGTGTAGTTGATCATCTGAAGTCAAGAGAGATAATGCGGATTTGTTTAGTAAATTATTGAACATCAGATTAAACGAAGTGCTCTCTGTGTCGGATCGCTCACAGAACCAATCAAATCAGAGTTTAACCGTAAAACTATAGTAATAACATCTTAGTTTAAAAAATTCAGGTAACACTTTATGTTTTATTATATACACTATAATACATATATCTATATATGAAGAGTTCAGATGCAAAAGCCTCTAAGTGCCATTTGAAATTTTCTTCTAGAATGATCATTTTTATCAAGCTTGTATATTTAAGTTCAGTAATTTCACTAAAATTGCAATGACGATTACCTATTAATTGTCATTTAAGTGAAATTACTGAACTTGAATATATAAGCTTGATAAAAAAATGATCATTCTAGAAGAAAATTTCAAATGGCACTTAGAGGCTTTTGCATCTGAACTCTTCATATATATATACACATATATATCTGTGTGTGTGAGTGTGTGTGCAATCTGATCCTTACTTGTGATGCGTTACTTTACTCGTTATATCAAAAGTAATCTGATTACATTATGCACGTTAGCCACAACACGGCTCTTTTCAGAAGAGATTGATTGAACACCTGATCGCTAGTTTGTCCACAGTCTGAAAACATCAGTAGATCAGTTTTCCCAGAGAGCTTTGGTAGAAATGTGTCGTTTTTGAACAATCAGAATTATCAGCCAACGTGGATAAATCGACGTACTCTGGTAGACTGGACGGAGCATGAGCGTTTTCTACATAGCTGGAGTTGGGTTTCCGGAGTTGCACCTTCACCGACTTTAAAGATCTTTGATGGATTCATGTCCTCATGTTCTGATATCAAAGACATGCAAAGATCAACTTGAATGAAGTTCTTCTTTGTCTGCAGGTCAAACAGGAACAAACTCAATTGTATTTACAATTACTGAAGCTGTATTATATATTTCAGTTTTAACATGATTTTATATAATTTATTATTTGTTTAGTACACACAGTATTACTGTGTTATATTACTATATTATGTTTAGTATCTATTCAGTTAAAAACACAAACAGTCCACTCAAGTTGACATCTGAAAATCTCTTTGTAAAATGGGTAATAAAAAATAAGTTCAAACACATAAAAACACAGATTGTCAATTCATGCATGAAAGGGTTAATAATACTTTATTTCCTACTTAAGCACTTTTAAGCATTATTGTAGTAATGTTAGATCGTGTTCTTAGTGAAAGTTATTATAACGCGTTACCAACAGAATCAAGATATTATATATTATGAAGTATATTCTCGAAGTACATAAAGTCTGAAACTCCTGATGTAATGTTACAACATTTGTTAATACTAATGAAAGTTGTAATAATTTGCCTATCTTTGATGGCGTGATCATGTAACGTTACTTAATAATAAATACATTTCTCCTGCAGAAGGAGAGAGTTAAACTCCACGAGAATATAGTATTGTTTTTGACGCAATACCAGTAGGTTTTTGGAGTCTTTTGAGAGGCAGTAATGAACCTCATAAGCAATCAATGGTTAAAAAACAGGTTTTGTTAAACGGTGTAGATATAAAAGATATTAAATGTAATTATAAATTCTTTAGATGCTTGATTCACTGCCCTGCTACACCTCGAAATAAATTCTTTTGGAATGAACATTTTGAAAATATTAATTGGAGATTGATTTGGACCTATTCTAATAAATACTGTATTAATAACAAAGTATACGAAATATATTTTAAAATTATACATAAAATTTACCCAACAAATGAGTTCCTAAAAAGATATAAAATGACCTTTCTGAACTCTGTACATTTTGTAAAAAGGATACTGAAACTGTTTTACATCTTTTCTTTGGATGTATGTTTGTGAGGTTTTTCTGGATTGATGTGGAATATTTATTTAATATGTTAAGTGGAGTAAAAATTTGCATTGGTAAAAGAGATGTTTTTTGTTATTATGGTAAAAAAGATATAAACAAGAGTCTAATTTTTATGTTAAATTTGATCTTATTTCTTGGTAAATTTTACATACATAAATGTAAATGGTCTGGAAGGACACCTAACATTTACCACTTTAAAGCTGACTTGAAAATTTACTTTGAAACACTGAAAGGTCTCTCAAATCGCAAAGCAACCAGAACGATGGACATCTTCAAAGAATTGAACTCCTCTTATTTAATGTAATTATATATGTATACTGTATACCTACCTCCTTTATGTTGTGTTATGTTTCTTTTTTTATTTTTTTATGTAATTCTAATGTTCTTTAATTTCATTGATAAGAATGTTTACTTTAATGTTTCTTATTGCATGATGCGTTGGAATAAGTTGGAAAATATATGTAAATTGTTGTTTCTAATGTATTAATGTATAATTTTGGAAACAAAAAAAATAAATAAAAAAAGAGAGAGTTAAACTTTAAAAGCCCGGAAGTGTCGTGATCTGCGCATGCGCGGAACTCCTGCAGCTTATTTACATAATTCCCTCACAAACATAAACACAAACACACGGTACATTAAATCTCATCACATACGTCCATTCTTGTAGATTTGAGCTTTCTTAATGTTTGTCCGAGCGGAAAATCACTAATTGTGAATTAAAACTGTGTTCATTTGTTTTCAAAACTCAACAAGATGACTTTACACTGTTATAAACGAAACTTCGAGCGTTTAAATGTTTTCTCTTTTGTTGTATAGTGACTCTAGCGATGATATCTAATGACTTTTCTTGGAAAATGTGATTTTAACAACAAGTATATTAGACTAAAGAAACTCCAGGCAGTTTTTATTTTTTGCTGAGTAACTGAATTTAACCCTTTCGTGAGGCAAAGACAAAACATTGCATTTCCTGAATATTTACTTCCGATTAAATCATTTTACTTACTGTATTCCTCTGATGTTTTTCCTCAGTTTGGTCTTCTATTATAAAGAGTTATCCCCGCTCCATCTTGTGTTTCCGTCACTGTTTTATCGGCCGTTCAGACCGAAACGAACCGCCGGTTGCCAACACACCGGTACTGCGAAACCACGCCCATCTCTTGAATATTAATGACGTAACGCCACGCTCACCCAGTACGCTTAGCTGATTGGTTTAAAGCAGACGTCGGCAACTGAGCGCAACATCTGGTGGCCAATCAAAGAATCACTGAATACATACATATTAATTAGGTTACGTAACCTTTTTTTCTTTTTTTCTATAATCCAACGAACTTTATTATCGTATGCATAATTTATACATTTATACACCCCGCCAAAGAATGTAAAAAAATAAATAAATAATGCCAGAGTGTACAAATCGATCAATAAAAATAAAAAAAAAACGGTAATTAAAGATACGACAAGTCTTTTTTGCTTTTTTTTTGAGTCTCCTGAAGAAAACGATTTTGACCATTTCTTCTTGTGTATATGGAATTTTCCCAAAATAATAAAAAGATATATTATTATTATTAGCATTACATTCATTGGAATAATACATACACATCACACAATTATTTAATTTAATCATAACATTTGTTTTCATTCTAATTCAATTTTCCTCACTTTGTGTACATACAATTACAAAACAGATGGATAATAGATTTTCTTTTCTTATTCATGAGTTATCAATAATCTAACCTCTCTAACACACTTTTAGCTGGATATATACCATGTCCAATTTTAAATTTTAAATATAACCTCCTTTACTTTATTATTTAAACAGTATATGATACGCAACCTGAAAGTCCGGAAGATTGGCAACCAATCTCAATCTGATTAATATTCATGAGCAAATCCTTCATACAAAATGACGAGTTTTCTTTTGGTGAAGTGCATTTAGATTTTTATCTAACATAATAAAACTGACCTTAAATAACGCGAAGAATTGTATAAGTGTACAATGAGTTTGCCTCGTCTTTGAGTTCCTCTTGAGACGCGCTCCTCTAATACAGAGACTCTGTTGTTTTTATGGACAATATCTCCATTATTCACTGTACCGGCCTGTGACATCAACAAACACAACAACAGTGTTCACATCAGCATTTTATTGAACTGAAATGCCTCAAATCACACACACTAACACCATATTCACATACAGTTACCTTGATAACACATGTTTAAACCAGCCAGCTGAGACAGGGCAAGGCTGGTTCAAACTGGTTTTTCCAGCACCAATACAATTAAAACTTCAAACAATAAAACGTTTAACTCCAAATAAACACATTTTTCATTTACAGAGCAATCACGTAATGCCAAATAACTGCAATATTCATTTGTGACTTTTTATGATCAACAACTAATATCATCTGCATGTCAAATTAAATCATGAAATAGTTCAACAAACATTTAAAAACATAATCATATTAAAGACGTCCAGTCATGTGACCGCAGCACAAACAGATAATGATAAAAGTGTCTGATCAGACAAAGAGTGAGGTCGTGTTGAAGTCAACTCACAGCAAAGCAATGCATTCTGGGTAATTGGACAATCGTCAACTTTTCCCCATCATCTTTAGCAGGAGCTTCAGGAGATAAGAGGAAATGAAAGTAGGATATTAAGTATAAAAATAGCATTTTACATTGCAATTGCAACTTTTATCCAGCTAAAAACAGCAACATGTGATGTTGAACCTGTGTGAGGCGGTAGTGCTCGTCCACCAGCCGCTCGATGATGCTGAAGTGATCCGTGTCGGGAACGTCTTCGAAAGAGACCGTCAGACCGGCACATTCCAACCCCTAGGAGATCACACACACTTCATGCAAACTTTAACACACATTCCTGCAAATTCACATTTCCACAACACACACCGCTTTACAGAGAACACACGAGTCCACTTTACAGTCTAGAGACGGTCTGAGTTATGCATTTCAGAAATGTACATACACAAAATCACAGTTATTGAAAAATTGAATAATTTAAAGGATTAGTTCACTTTTGAAAACACTTTGGCTGATAATTTACTCGCCCCCGTGTCATCCAAGATGTCCATGTCTTTCTTTCTTCAGTCGAAAAGAAATTAAGGTTTTTGATGAAAACATTCCAGGATTTTCTCCATATAATGGACTTCAATGGGGACCAAACGGTTCAAGGTCCAAAAGACAGTTAATAACAGTTTCAGATGCAGCTTCAAATGTCTTTAAACGACACCAGACGATGAATAAGGGTCTTATCATGCGAAACGATCGCTTATTTCAAAACTTATTCCTTTCTAAGGACAAATGCTAGCCTTGCTCTATTCTGTGAGGCGCGTTTGTAACGTCACGTAATACGTAATTACGTTCAAAAGGTCACGGGCGACGTAGACGGAAGTACAGAATCAAAAGCGTCCGACATCGTTGTTTTACCTTTTAATTCCTTTTTTTGTAAACGGCGTTTGAGTTAGTTTGCACGTTCAACCTATGCGTTCAACTTGTAAACACTGACTCTGTACTTCCGACTACGTCGCCCGTGACCTTTTGAACGTAATTACGTATTACGTGACGTTACAAACGCGCCTCACAGAATAGAGCAAGGCTAGCATTTGTCCTTAGAAAAGTTACAGTTTTGAAATAAGCGATCGTTTCGCATGATAAGACCCTTATTCATCGTCTGGTGTCGTTTAAAGACATTTGAAGCTGCACTGAAACTCTCGTTTGGACCCCATTGAAGTCCATTATATGGAGAAAAATCCTGGAATGTTTTCATCAAAAACCTTAATTTCTTTTCGACTGAAGAAAGAAAGACATGAACATCTTAGATGACATGGGGGTGAGTAAATTATCAGCAAAAGTTTTTTCAAAAGTGAACTAATCCTTTAAGGCATGAATATGCGCATGAATAATAATGTGTGCAAGTAAATGTCGTTACTTTGAAATATTCCTCCGATTGCTTCCGAAACTCGGGCGAGTCGTGCTGCGCCACAGCGACGATGATGTCACAGGAAGCAGACGAGACTTTGAGCTGCGACAGGAAGTGACTCGGGCTGTTCCTCAACGCCACTTCCCTGAAACAGAATCATAACCGCGGGGTTCAGCGGGGTTCACGACAGCGGCACCAGGGCTTCCGATAACAACTCAAAACTTCGAATAACAGCTTCGAAGACATGACGTAGGTTTGTGTTTGTCAGCTGATCCCGTTGGTAATGTGAAAAATGGCGGGAAAAGGCTCTTGATGATGAAAACTTGACCAAATCTGCACATCGGTCAGAGATGAGTGTGTGTTCATCAACATGTGAGTGTGTGTGTGCGTATGTCTGAGAGAGGAGAGAGAGAGTGTGTGTGTTGAAAACATTGTCAACAGAAAGCACTCAGCATGTTTGTGTGTGTGTGTGAGAGAGAGAGAGAGTGTGTTATTAAAAACATTGCAAACACAGTTTTATGCACTATTGTAACCTCATTTTCTTTGCATAAAGAACAATTGTTTGAAAAATTCTTTAAAAAGTGAATGTCAATAAAAGAAGTGATGTTTGCTCTGGTTTATTTCTGCGCTCGCTCGCGCCCTCTTGTGGACAGGAGACGACACAGCACTTTCCCTCTAACGTTAATAGGTTTTGCCTTTAGAACTCGAATATAATTCAGCTTTTGCTCATTATTTAATAACGAAACTGAATTTAGTTTTTCAGCCATTCTGACAGCAGCCTCGTGTGTGTGAGTGTGTGTGTGTGTGTGTTCGAAGGCCTCGCATGGCGGAGACACTCACTCGTTCATCTTCAGCGGCTCGTTCACGTACGTGGACAGAATCGGCAGCAGGTCGTAAACGCCACTGACCAGGACAGCACCTGAGCACACACACACACACACACACACACACACCGCCAGATCACACTCAATCCCTCAATACGACTGCATTCGAGGAGTAAATATCAAACTAGTGTGGAAAGAAAGATGCACAAACACACTTTAAAACTTTCAACTCTTTAAAACTACTGTATTATATTTAATACACACAGGCAGATAATGATATTAATATCTAAATATGTGCTATAAATATCTATAAATATAAGTGAGCAGTTTTTTCCTCCACATTCACACTATATCAGGTTTTATGAGGCATAAAATTTTGATGGATCAAATATGAAACTCACATGCAAACTTATTTTTTTCTAAACGGGTGAAACTCGAAAATTAAGGAAAAAAATGTAAATAAATTTGATGATTATGGCTTCTTTAAATTAAAAATCTCAGAAAATTAGAATATTACATGAAATCAAAAACACAGAAATGTTGGAAAAGTATGATCATGCATACGTGTATACTTATATATACTAAATATATTTACATTTATTCATTTAGCTGACGCTTTTATCCAAAGTCAGAGGTCGCACGCCTCTGGAGAGACTAGGGGTCAAGTGTCTTGCTCAGGGACACATTGGTGTCTCACAGTGGATTTGAGCCCGGGTCTCTCACACCAAAGGCATGTGTCTGATCCCCTGCGCCATCACCACACCATATATATAAATATATTAGTTTCCCCTTTTAATCTGATTTACTGACATACACGAACTGTTGCGTGATATTTCCCGAGTTTCGCCTGTGTATATTTTGTGTAAAGGGTCAATAAACGGTTCCTCCACCCGTCAGGCCTCGCGGGATCATGCGCGTCTGAATAAAGCAGAAAGTGCTGTTTGATATCCACACCTTTGATTTGCGGAGAGATGCCGTACTCGGACCAATCGGTGGACAGGACCATGGCGGCCAGGTGTGCTCCCGCAGAGTGTCCGCACAGGTAAAGCCCGCTGGAGGAGCAGAGAACAGCATGAGCACAGGCGTCCCATCAGCCACCTCTCTACCTGACGCATCAACACACCTGATGTGCGAATACTGCTGGATCACGGACGCCACGCTCCTGCGCACCTGAGACACCATCAGATCCATGTTCCCTACACACACACACACAAGTTTCTATGAGTGTGTTAGCGCGTTCACATTCTGACCGGATATAGCAGACCATCCGGGTCTCTGTGGAACGTCAACATCGTATGATTTGGGACGTAGTAAATATTAACAAACAGCATTTAGGACGGATAGTAAGCAAATTAGGATGCAGTGATATAAAACACATTCATTTCCCATGATCCTCTGCAGTCGTACCTGTAGGAGCGGTGCTGTAACCCACGGCGACCACGACCACGCCCTTCTGGACCAGCGGGGGGGCCAGGAACCCGGACTCGTCCTTACTGGGACCCGGCACACACACACACACACACACAGTTAACGTCACTGATATACCAGTATGGGCTTACTCATATTTACATTTATATTTTCATTTTAAGTTTTAGTCATTTAAAAAAAGTTTTTTGATTTATTTAAAGCTTTAAGTTTTAGTAAGTTTTTAAATTTTATTTTATTTTTAAATTTATATACGTATGTATATATATATATATGCTTTCGTTATTTTAGTACTTCAAGTTGCATGTTTTATTTCAATCATCGTTTATTTTTAAAGTAACAAAAAAATTATGGCGTTTAAATTAAAACGACTACTTGAGTTGCGCTTCACATTCCAAATGTCACAATTAGTGTCGGCGCTTTCGAAACACGAAACAATAAAACGTTATTTTATTTATATATATTAAATATTTATAATTTATTTAATTTTGATTTTTGCTTTCGTTATTTTAGTACTACAAATTACATGTTTAATATCAGTCAAAATTTAATTAAAAAAAAAATTTTTTTGTACGGCTTGTTTTATTTGGAATTTGAATTAAAATGGCTACTTTTACACATTTAGTTCGAAACACCTCAAGAAGCTTCGAAACTTTTGTGGATCGTTTGTTTCGAACCAGTGATTCGGAGCGCGTATAAAACTGCCAGAGTCACATGACTTATGCAATGCAATGGTTCGCCAGTAGGGGGCGATGGTCTCTGCGGTCCCATGACCAGCATCTATATGGTTTTTATTTATTTTCTGTAGACATTTGTGTAATAAAAGGAGGAGTTTTAGTTAATACTCTTATTGGCCTGATTAAGTTTTAATGCATGTATGGTTGTTTCATTCATAACAGGACGATTATTCCTACAGAAAGAGTTGACGTAATGAGAGCTTGCCGTTTGTTGCATATTTTAAAATTGTAATGATTTAACGATGGGTTCTCACTAGTACATATATATATATATATATAATATTTGATGTGGAGATCACATGTAAATGTCCCGGTTACGGAGATAAGCGGAGAAAGCGAGGGATCAGACCTGAGAAACTGCCAGTAACCTCCATGAAAGTAAATCACCAGCGCCAGATCTGAAACACAATCGACAGAGAGTCAGTAATAATGACCTGATGATGAGAGAAACACACACACACACACACACACTCAACAGCAGACAGACATTAAAGGCCTAAACGAGTCAATCTCACAACAAAAACATCTGATCACATTTTACCCCAAAAAATATTGTATTACATATTTTACAATAACTTAAATTTAAATGCACTTATTTGCCAGGCTACTAAAAATAACTGGATTTGCTTCTAAATATGCCATTTTTTCCTCAAATATAACATTTGTTTCTGAAAGTAAACATGAGATTCACTTTTTGCATACGAGTATGATTTATTAGCACACTTCTGAAACTAACATATAATACAGTTCTCATTAATAACAGCTTAGATAGAATAACAAAACAAACATTTTCTATAGACAAACCAAACTACCTAAAGACAGTAGAATTTGTGATGACTATCAAAAGGGTTATTATCGTTAACTAAAACTATTAAAAACTTTTATAGCTGAAATAAAAACAAAAATCAAAAGATAATAAGAAATGTTGCCATGGCAATAAAAATGAAATAAATTTATGCTGAAGCACTAAAATTATTAACTGGAAATAAATAAAAAAGTGTGATCGTCAACCAGTGGATCTCTGAGTGAGTGGAGGCGGGGCTCATTTGCATATTCATAAATAGTAAATGAGGCGAGGGTGTTGAGTTACATTCAACATATTTTAAGACATTTTTTCAAGAAAAAAAATGTCATTTTGGTGATCAAAGATGAGTTTAAACTTTAAAGCGATAAATAATAGACTACAGGGGGACTTTAAGCTCAAATAAACACGACAAAATAAAAATAAGCTCATTTAAAATATGAATAAAACAAAAATAACAGTTTTTATGTAATTCAAGACTGATTATAACTGTATCTCACCTGGACTGGAGCTGCAGGGAAGGTAAACATCCAGTTTCTCTCTGTCTCCTTCACCGTATGGCACGTCAATCAAAGTCTGAGTGACAGCTCGTGCTTTCTCTGTGCCTGAACACACACACACCTCTAAATTCAGTATTATTGGACCAAAACGCATGTAAACAGTCCCTGATGTAGATCACGTGCTCAAAGCTCTTGCCTGAGGAGCATCTGTATTCAAATGAAGATGAGGTATTTCCCTGTGTTTCATCAATGAACTGAAGTAAAAGGATACAAACACTCGCTCACCTGATTTTAAAGCGGCCACGTGGGCTTTGATGACGTCATCCGCGGACATCCTGGGTGACCAGCGACTCGGCGAGTACTGAAGCTCGAGCTCCTGAGAAAAACACGTAACTGAGCGAGTACTGAACTGTACCTCACCAAACTGTCTATTATGGTATTGAAGCGCGACCTCCTGTCGAACACACGTGACTGAGTGAGTGAGTGCTGAACATGGTCGTGAAGCGCGAGCTCACAGACGAGCAGACTCGTGCGCGCGCAGCGACCTCTGCTGGCAGTACGCTGTCATTACAACACATTCTCGTACATATTTAACATAATAATCTCCTGATTTCCTCAAGATTTTTTTGAGATTGTTTTATTTCTATTTATTTTTATAAATGTATTGTATGTTTACTGTATCGCCTTATTGCCTTGCTCTATTTTTATGGCTCTACCTCGAGTTTCTTATCCTATTTTATATGTGTGTGTGTGTGTGTGTGTGTGTGTGTGTGTGTGTTACATGACATGTATCCCCTGTGATCCCCAAAAAAACTAAAAAACAAGCATACAGTGCACAAATAGCCTATGTGTATTTCCGTATGTATGAAATTCCAGCATGATCTATTTTATATTTATATTTAACTCATAATGCAATGCACTCTATCATTTCCAGTGTACTCGAATGTGATTTCCACATCTTTCTTGACTATTCTCTTTATTGGGCTACTAAAAGTTATGTTTTTTGTAAAATTAAAAATGCAAAATAGTCATATTCATTTCTCTGAATTAAACAGTCTAGTGAGGTAATGTTTGAAACTTTTACTGTTGCATACAGTTTCATATACTAATTTTTTTTTTAAAAAGTATAAATTGTTCATGATACCCTATGGAAGCCCATTTCTACCACATCAAAAAACTGTTTTATGACATAAAAATAAGATAATATAATATTCAAATAATAATATAATAAATCATAAAAATGACAAAATTTCTAAATTGTGACAAAAGTTGAAATGAAAAAAAGTCAAAATTATGTCCAAATTGCCATTCTATATGATTTTTTTAATGTGACAATTATGACTTTTCAATGTCATAATTTCGATTTTTTATGTAATAATAATGTAAATGAGCAGTTTTTAGATCAGAGATAGGAAGTTTCACAAGTACTTGTGATTAAATGTAATTCTTTATAATTACTAGTGCTTCTAAATCGCATCTAACATTTCATACAACTTTGTATACTTGCATATGTATGTGTGTGTTTTATATAGGCCTATGTATGAAGAGTTCAGATGCAAAAGCCTCTAAATGCCATTTGAAATTTTCTTCTTTAATGATGATTTTTATCAAACTTGTATATTTAAGTTCAGTAATTTCACTTAAATAACAATTAATAGGTAATTATCATTGCTATTTAAGTGAAATTACTGAACTTAAATATACAAGTTTGGTAAAAATCATCATTAAAGAGGAAAATTTCAAATGGCATTTAGAGGCTTTTGCATCTGAACTCTTCATATATATATATATATACATACACACATTTACAAACATGTATATTAAATGCGATTAATAGCAATTAATAGATTTGACAACATAAATAGTTATTAATAAATAAAACACTTAAGTGGAACATTTAAATTGGCAGATTAATTTTCGGTAGTTTATGGACTCATTTCTCAATCAACCATCACTGCTTCTCACTGTATTTGATCAACAATCTTTGATTTGACATAGACCTACTTACATCTTTGCTCATTTTCCTCCAGTCACTCATGATGATCTTCTGCTGGACTAGATAGAAACTTTGAAACTGCAGCACACATATCATCACGTGTTATTGACACACAGTCAATCATTAAATGCTTTAAAACCATAGTTTAAAATGTGGAAGTCATGTGTCACGCTCTGATGCTTCACTCACTCAACCGTAATTTGGCACATAATTGAACTGGATTGGTGGGTATTAAACGCAAATAAAATTTAGACAACAAAAAAGCAGTTTGTACCCACTTAATGATCTCTTTATTCATTTTCTTTATTTCTAAAGCACTTTTGTTTACATTCCCGCCTGAACGCTTCCTCATGCCGAGGAACTTCCCCCACTCACTGTGACATCAGCAGAGGCATCAGAATGCATAGGCGGCAACCAATCAAATCACAGGAGCTCATCAGCGATCATTTTGATTTGTAGATGTGTTCACTGATGCGCGCGCCCTCGATCATGATTGGTTCTGAAGAACGTGACGCTAAAGGAACTATAAAACGACAAACTGGCGGTGGCGGGACGTTCAAATCCTGCTGTAAGTCACACTGTATGTCGAGATAACCATAAAACAGAAGAAACACTCACAAACAAAGACATGGATTGTTTGAATGTGGCGAAAATTTTACCCAATTCCCCGCGGAAGACAACAGGACAGATCCAGGTGCGTGACTTTTGTAACGTTTTTGTTGTGGATTTGAAGCTTAAATGTAAATATTAATCACATCAATATCTCTTTGTCATGTTCTCAGATTATTTTCGGACCGATGTTCTCAGGAAAAAGGTGAGCGATTAAATCCCCACTACATTCGTAAAATATGAATTATGACTGTTAAAACTTACTCTAGTAAACTATGTTTTGGTTCAGCGGAATGGCGCCAAATGCAGATTCAGGCGCGAGACTCCCAGTGTAAATACTTATATGTAAATACTATCCTAGTTTTCTACTATCCTAGACGTCACAAGCTGTGTTGATAATAAAAGCACGTCATTGTTCTGAGGAAAGTGTCATTGTTGGGTTTAACTGTGAGAATCCGCTGAATAAACACAAGCGCTGTGATCCACTCCTCACATCACGGTCTGTCAGACTCTAGAGTCGCTTTCTGATGATGTATATATGAAGAGTTCAGATGCAAAAGCCTCTAAATGCCATTTGAAATTTTCTTCTTTAATGATGATTTTTATCAAACTTGTATATTTAAGTTCAGTAATTTCACTTAAATAACAATTAATAGGTAATTATCATTGCCATTTAAGTGAAATCACTGAACTTAAATATACAAGCTTGATAAAAAGCATCATTCTAGAAGAAAATTTCAAATGGCATTTAGAGGCTTTTGCATCTGAACTCTTCATATGCAGTTTACATCAAACCAGTGACTCTTGAAGTATTAATGTGTGTGTGTGTGTGTGTCCAGCACGGAGCTGATGCGGCGTGTGAGGAGGTTCCAGGTCGCCCAGTATTCCTGTTTGCTCATCAAATACGCCAAAGACACTCGCTATTCTGAGACGGGGATGGCCACTCATGACAAGTAAGATCGAAGCACTGGACGTGTGTGTGTTGCTGTGTTTAGGCCAGGGTGTGTGTGAAACTGGTGTGTGTGTGTGCAGGAATATGATGGATGCGGTTCCTGCTAGTCTTCTGCGTGATGTTCGGTCTCGGGCTCTCCAGGCGTGTGTGATCGGCATCGACGAGGGACAGTTTGTACGTGTCCATCATCATGACGTTCTCAGTCTCGTGTTATGGTTTATGAGTTCTTCAATAATTCAGATCTTTGGCTTTTGCAGTTTCCAGACACCGTTGAGTTCTGTGAAGAAATGGCCAACATGGGGAAAACCGTCATAGTGGCAGCGCTTGATGGAACATTCCAGAGAAAGGTGTGTGTGTGTGTGTATAGATGTATACTTCAGAGCTTTACCTTAACTTTTTTTTTTTGCACATAGCACTGGTGTAGTTGGTTTTATTTATTAATACATACATTTGATCATTTTACATACGTTTTATTCTCTGAGCGATGTTGCTGACCTTTGACCCTTGTGTGCACAGCCCTTTGGGAACATCCTGAATCTGGTTCCTCTGGCGGAGAGTGTGGTGAAGCTGAACGCCGTGTGCATGCAGTGCTTTAAAGAGGCAGCTTACACCAAGAGACTGGGCTCTGAGAAAGAGGTACACACACACACACACACACCTTCACAGCAGAAGCGATTCGTGTCATCCTCACCCTGCACTGTAAAGTGCTCCGTTCACTCACTTAATTTTACATATTACATATATCATATATCATGATATGTTATTATAGCGATACTCCAAGACGCACTGTTTAAGGTTTTATATATATATATATATATATATATATATTTTTTTTTTTTTTTTTACTTTAATGCTGAATTTGGTTTTACATTGTGTGTGTAAATGAATAGACTTGGACTTGCTGCTGGAAACCCAATAGAGACACCAGAATACACACATTCATGATACTGAAGCTGAAAACAGAATTATTTTAGTAATATATTTTAGTCGAATATATTCATTTCACTACGGAGGCGTATTGCGTTCACTTGAAGAAAAAAAATCTACTCTGTTTTTCTGAATTAATGAGTTAATTTTTCATGAGAAAAAAATATTTTGCTCTGTTTTTTTTTTAATTAATGAGTTAATTTTTCATGAGAAAAAAAGTTTTTGCTCTGTTTTTTTGCTCTGTTTTTAAATTTACTTGTTAATTCAGAAAAACAGAGCAAAAACTTTTTCTCATGAAAAATTAACTCATTAATTAAAAAAAACAGAGCAAAAATTTTTTTTCTCATGAAAAATTAACTCATTAATTCAGAAAAACAGCAAAAAAAAAATCCATGAAAAATTAACTCATTAATTCAGAAAAACAGAGCAAAAACTTTTTTTCTCATGAAAAATTAACTCATTAATTCAGAAAAAGAGCAAATTTTTTTTTTCTCGTGAAAAATTAACTCGTTAATTCAGAAAAACAGAGTAGATTTTTTTTTTCTTCAAGTGAACGCAATACGCCTCCGTATTTCACTCACTAGATATATGTAAAATAATGTAGGCCATATTATAATGGTATAACATCAGACATCTGGCATTATCAGGACCCACCAATATTCCCCCATTGCATTATTATACACGATATTCAACATGTTTCTGGAAACTTGAATTTCTCACAGAGATGTTTCATTTTGTGTGAACTATCCACAAGGCGTATTGCTGCACGCGAGTGTTGTGATATATTGTGACCGTTATCCATTGGTGATCAGGTGGAGGTGATCGGCGGGTCTGATAAATATCACGCTGTGTGTCGGGTGTGTTACGGAGATCTGATGACGAGTAAAGAGAACCGAGACCCGATGCGAGACGAGACGCCGCCACATCACGTGACGTCTGGGAAACCTCTGGATCACGGCGCGACACGCAAGCTCTTCGCTTCCCTTCACCTCTGAACACGACTGTTACGACCTGAGCACTTGGTGTGTGTGTGTGTGTGTGTGTGTGTCGTCTGCTGTTGATTTCCTGTAAATAATAACGTGAACTTCTTGATCCAGCTAAATATTGTGTTTGTATCTTCACATCCTTTGAACGTATTTTAATATAAATGATCTTAATCTATTTAAATGTCTAACGAGACCAGCTGACATCCTGAAACACTGCCATGGAAGTGATGTTTATTATCATTAAAACATTTTTCTTTTTACATTAATCATTTTCTGCTCACTAGGAATTTGGTACATGAAGTTTTAATTCAACAGATGCATGTTAATAAAATAGACACTTCTAAATCAAAGACTTGTTTGTTTTAATTTAGAAATGCAACCAGTGTTTGTTAGTAAGTGCAATAGAAATAACTGTAATCTGGTTATGCAGAGACAACACCTGAAAACATGTGAACACACAATAAATAATAACAAAATTGACAATCCTGATGTATTAATGTTGCTGTATATCATCTAAGCTTTTTTCTGCCACGGCAAAAAACGAATTAGAAAACTTTTTATTTTCTAAAATTCAGATTTATTTAATTTTTAAAGGAATTTTATACTTTTATTCATCTAGGATGCATTAAATTGATCAAAAGTGATATTTATGTAATGTTACAAAAGATAATTTTTCAGAAATGCTGTTCTTTTGAACTTTCAAGTCATCAAAGAATCTTAAATAAAATGTATGTTTCTACAAAAATAATATTGATAATCATAAACGTATCTTGATCATCAAACCCTCATATTTGAGTGATTTGTGAAGGGTCATGTGACACTGAAGACTGGAGTAATGATGATAAATTCAGGAATAAATTACACTTTACTGGATATTCACAGAGAACAGATGATTTTTATCATATTTGACTTTTTTTTTACTGTATTTTAAGCAAATAAACGCAGCCTTGAGCAGAAGAGACTCAAACCGTTGAAAGCTAGTATAGAGGATATCTTGGATTTTATAATTGTTTTATCCCGTGGCAGAGAGAGCAGTTTCCAGACGAGCAGAACACACCAGTCCGGACAGATGAACCAGCATCAGTGTGTGTCCGTGGGTCCACACACACACAACCGCTGCGTCTCCAGTCAATCACATGTTTCTGATGATCTTTATGTTCCGCCACATTCCCACTCATTAACAAATCACAAAAACACTGCCGTGATTGGAGGAGTGTGAGCGACGGATCGGCTTCACTTTATTCCAGCTCATCAGTGCAAATCTCAACTCGTCTACAGAACAAAACACTATTTACACATTACGGCCACATTGGAAAAGCACAGTCAGACTCCTATTGGCCGCCAGCCAATTTCGTTGGCCTGTGGGCGGGGCTTGTCAGTAGACGGGCGGCTGGTACCGGTTCTGGTCGGACGGGTTGGGGTTCGGGATGAATGGCGGCTGCTGGTACACGTCTGGCCCGGTGTTCTGGAAGGACGGGTAAGTGGGCGGAGCATAAGGGGGGGTGATGTCAGTGGGCGGAGCATAAGGGGAAGTGACGTCAGTGGGCGGATCGGCGTATCTCCGGCTCACGTCTCCAACGCCCTGACGAAACCTCACCAGAGCGAAGTAAGTCAACGCCCCCTGAGGACGAGAGATTCGACTGTCAATCAACGGCTGCAAGTGGGATTTCATGATCGGTTAACCCTCTGTGCTCTTCCGGCATTTTTGTACGTTTGTTTTTTTACTTCATCAGAATGCTAGGAAACTTGGTAAAGGTTTTGAGCGCACAAAAATCATAGACATGATTTGAAAAGGTTTAATGGTCCTGAATAAACAGTCCCACTCGTGCTCCTCACGTGTCAGATATGAGAGGAGTGTCCTCTAGTGGAAGCATCTGGAACTGCAGCCACACTCAGTCTCTCTGCAACATGGCATCATGACTTTTGCGTAAACACAAATGGCGCGTTATCTATACGCATTTTGAGCTATCCGCGTGTATCGTGTGTATGTCTCACTGAAAGATCAGCACACACTGGTGGACATTTATGGCTTAGGGTTAAAATAAAACAAGATTTAGAAAATATATATTTCATATAAAATTATTTGTGTGCATTTTTCATAAAAAACATTTATTGTTGACTGTCTTTAAACTTTTTTCCGTTCAGCAATGATCTGCCGAGTGTGTGTTTGAGAAGAGAGTCTGATTATGATTTACCTCAGTTTAAGTTGTTCAGGTCTACGCTCAAAACGTGAATAAATGGATTATAAATCCAGCGTATATATAATGTAGTACCATAGAAATACTAAATAAAATAAAATATAGTACATTATTTTTTATATATTTAAAAAAAAAATGTGTAATGTTTCACTCACCCAGGACGCGAGGGAGAAGAAGGAGAAGGCGATGACGGCGTGGGCCCCGTCTGTGGGGATGCCGCTGGTGTCGAGGGTCTTCGTCCACTGATCGGCCGTCAGACAGAAACACACAAACCACAGGAAGGTCCAGGCACCTGATCAGAGGAAGTGATGCGTCATTAACAATTACATAGGTGACATATTACCCTTTTCACAAGATGTAATATAAATCTATGGCGTAAATGAACGAATCTTTTTCCGAGTCAGTTTGTTCGTTGAATGAACCAAATGACTCGAAAAAAGATTTGTTCATTTTGATGAACAGGTTCGAACAGGAGAGTCACGAACGCGCATCACAGAACAGAGCAAGGCGAGCATTTGAGCTTATAAAACTTTTTTTTTAATTAAATGAGCGATCGTTTCGCTTGATAAGACCCTTATTCATCGTCTGGTGTCGTTTAAAGCCCTTTGAAGCTGCTCTGAAACTCTCATTTGGACCTTGAACCGTTTGGTCCCCATTGAAGTCCATTATATGAAGAAAATCCTGGAATGTTTTCATCAAAAACCTTAATTACTTTTCGACTGAAGAAATAAAGACATGGACATCTTGGATGACATGGGGGCGAGTAAATTATCAGCTAAAGTTTTTTTTAAAGTGAACTACTCCTTTAATGCATCATTGCTGAATATGGTATAAGCTATATCATAAACATGTTCTAATAAAATGTTTTTTATGGTTTGTTTTAGATAAATTTAATAACCCCTGGTATAAACTTTTGACATCCCACCCACTCGCACAGGAAGACGGCGATGCAGAAACCACACAACTACGGGTTTCACTTTCACAGGACGTTCGTCTGAAACTGATGACTCTAGACGAACAGGTCGTGTGTAAACACACCACAGAGGAACACAGACACTGAACACACACGTGACACACACACACACGACAAACTAAACCTTGGAGATCTTCTCTAGCTCTTTCCATCCACCTATTTTAGGCACATTTTGGGAGATTGCATGAAAAAAATGTGCATAAATTCTACAAATGTGGATAAAAAAATGCATGCTTTTTATTTTATCTAATAAGAAGACGTGCACATAAACTACGACGGAAACTGAATAAAACCCTCAAAACTCATGTCACTTTTTTTAGTACCTCAATGTTGCTACACTTTATATATATATATGGCTTTCTTTATTTATATAACTTATTCTTTATCGTTTTGTAAATCTAATTCTGTTGTCTTCATAAATGTTTCCATTAACCCCTGAAGGGATGTGCTAAAAATGACAGTAAAGTTGACTAGGATTGGATAACTGGAGGAACAGCGGACCAATGGCGTCGCAGAGTCTCTAATGTTGGTTTGGTAATTGTGTGTAATTCTCCAGAAGCGTCTCACACACACACACACACACACTGTAAACAAATATTGATGGTTTAACTTAAAAAAGTAAGTAACCTGGTTGCCTTAAAATTTTAAGTTGATTGAACTGGAAAAAGTGAGTTAATTCAATGAAGGAGATTAATTTAGCCACCAGAAACTCAAAATTATATGTTATCTGAAGTAAATAAATTATTTAAGTTGATTTAACAAAAGAAAAAAATGTTGTGATAACTACACTGTAAAAAATATTGTTGGTTTAACTTAAAAAAGTAAGTAACGCGGGTTGCCTGACAATTTTAAGTTGATTGAACTGGAAAAAGTGAGTTAATACAATGAAGGAGATTAATTTAACCATCAAAAACTCAAAATAATAAGTTATCTCAAATAAATAAATTAATTTAAAGTTGATTTGACCAAAGAAAATATGTTGTGATAATAAATCTTGAAAATATTTTTTACATCGTTCCCGAACGCTAGAGAACACGACAGCGCTTACTGACTTTCGACTGACGCTCGACACACTCATTTATGATGGAGGGAATGAACACCATTGTAGAAACTTAGTTTTATTACTCATGTTTTTGCACCAGTTTTCCAATAAAGTGCAGATTCTGTTCTCGTGAACACATGTTGTTTAGGTTTTGAATAATATAGATGTGTTCTTTTATGACCTCACCAAATAACTCATCTGGCCTTAAATTCATAATACAGAATTATTGGTCGCTTCCATGTGAACTGGAATCATGCGTGTCTCTGAACAGAGGAGAAGGACAGGAGAACGTTTACGTCGCCTCACCTGAGAAGCCCAGATCGGCCAGCACGACGTACTTGCGCTCCTCAGCGCTGCTCATCGACGGCAGGAGAGCATCAGCCAATAGGAAGCCTATACACGCCAGGAATGCGATGACGCCGATTCCCACACCGTAACGACACACTCCGTCGTTCCCGTTGAAGACACACTTCACGTCGACTTCAGTCGAGGCGTTCACGTAACCTTCAGCGGTTATGGAGGCAAACACCACGATGGAAAACACCTGGCGGAGGGAAGTGAGGCCTGCATCACAGATCAAACCACAACGCAGAAATAAAAGCAAAACCAACAAAAATAACTTTTCCCATTAAGTTATACAAATGTTAATCTGTCTTTTTTTTATGTGACACTGTGTCCTAAGCACACATGACCGTTGAGATAAAATTCCAGTCACACAAGCAAAAAAAATCTATCAAAGCTCACAGCCAATCAGAAGAGTGTGTGGGCGGAGTCTCTCTGCAGGTGCACTACATTCGCAACCAAATCATAGATATGTACATAATCAAGTTTATATAAAATTCACAATTTTAACATTATTAAAAATACATACTAAGTGATTTAGTCTGACAATCGTCAACAGAACCTGTTTAATTTCAAGGTTTGAGGTGAATTGTCACATTCGGTACGGCTATGAATGATATTCAAACAGTAAATAAAGCACATATTATTACTGTAATTGTTTATTTGTATGTTGTTGTTCAAACCTCACCAAAATCCCCAAATGATAACCCATTATATTATTAAAATATAAATACAGTAGTCAACATTTGAAGTGGATAAAAACCTGAATTTTGAACAACACCCAGATTAACTTTTTTGATTCACTTCAAATGTTGACTAGTACTGTAACTATTTTTAAGCTTGGTTTAACCCATTATAACCCCACCCACAAACTGGACTGGAGGTTTTGATTGGTGAACTTTTGCTACTTTTCAATGTACTTTTGGGTGAAAAATAAATTTATTGAATTTGAATAGTTTATTTGATTAAATTCCCACAATTTAACTATACTGACAATAAAACTACTGTAATGAGAGTAGTTGTAATAATAAGTGATGGAAACATTGAGAGAAAGCAGTCGCTGCAAAAGTGTCCCACAAGGCTCATGAAAGACTCGCACACAAACCAAACTTCATAATCCCAGCAATGCTCTCATGTTACCTGCCATCTGCTGTGTTTACATGTCATCAGCACTGGGACGGGGGACATTCTGTACTGGTGTACTATCACACGACACACACCATCACAACACACACACCACTGACCTGAATGCTCATGCGACTGGAGAGTCCGACTCAAACACACTGCTGTGTGCAAATGTGTGACGCTAGTAAACAAATTACACTGAAGAAATCTAGACATGGTTGACAAGGTCACCTGATGCACACGCACACACACACACACACACACACACACACACACACACACACACACACACACACACACACACACGAGATATGAATCAGCTCTTGCTGACTGTTTCACAGTGTCTGTGGAAAGTCCCTTCGCTGGAAAGTGGATCATGGTTAGGGTAAGGGTTAATTCACCCAAAAATGAGAATGATCCCATAAGTTAATCAACTTTAAGCCATCCTAGATGTATATGACTTTCTTCTTTCAGCCAAACACAATCGAGAGTTGTATTAAACCGCTTTCCAGCTTTATAACAAGAGTAAATGGTGCATGAGATTTCAGAAGCCCCAAAAAAGTGCATCCATCCATCATAACAGAACCAGTGTGATTATAGTTCATATTTCATAAAGTTATAAATATGGATATTTTGCTTCACTTCAGAAGGCCTTCATTAGTCGTATGGATTACTTTTATGATGGATGGATGCACTTTTTAGGGCTTCACATTTTTTTTAATGTTAATGTTTTAATGTTTAATATTGTTTCAGATCCTTTAGAGAACATTCAAATGAAACATTCCCATAATGTCTGAAGAATGATGCTACGTTGTCAACACGTCTTTAAAACACGTCTTTTTTTTTAAACAAACCGGAAGTTTTTAGATAATATTCAGAAATAACATTTTCATAACTTAATGGGAAACATTTTTGTTAACTGGGATTTACATTTAATGTTGATTCAATTCATTTCGACATGTGCAGTTTATCAATAGCTAGTGAAACTACTTCAAAAGCAGTTCTTACAGGAAAAACAAGATATTCCAGTCGCTACTAAATAGCACTGTCCTACTTTTATACTATTAAAACGTGCAATGAAAATAAGCACAAGTTCACAACATCATTAAAGCAGTAAAAAAGTGCCACAAACGCCCGAATGACTCAATGATTTATATTCCCAGATTATTGATCGCAATGAGTTGAAGCTGACACATGTCACTCACCCAGCTGAGGACTCGTATGATAGTTTGAGGCTGTTTGATGAATTTGATGAGATCGAATCCCGCTCCTGCGAGAGAGGCTCCGTACGCCACACTGTTCGACTCCATCGGTGAAACAAACACACACACTCACACACACACACTCACGCGCACACACGTGCGCGCGCCCGACAGCTGAAAACACAACACCGACACAGACACACACCACCACCGGTGCAGCTGCTTCCTCAGACACTGGTGTCAGTCAGATTCGCGAATGAGTCGTTCTTCAGAACCGGCTCTTTTTGATGATTCAGATGAACGCAATGAGCGGTTTATTAACAACAAAAAAACTGTTCAAAAGAACCGACTCGCCAAAATGATTCGAACTTTTCGACGCCGCCGCCGCACAGAGTGAAAATCCAATACGGTTAAAGTTGACACTAAACATTCCGTTAGTTTAATGTTTAATAATAAACAATTGATTGGGATATCAAAACACAATGATGACGTTCACTGCTACTCACAATCTAACACACACACACACACAAATAAAAGTGATGCAGTACATACAAATAATCTGTTATTAATGTTATTAAAATGAACGCTGTTGGGTTTATCAAAACATATACATTTTTATTTATTTGTGATCTTCCCTCCACAAACCCACACAGACTCGTTTGAATCTGACAGTAGACACATTGTTGGCTGGCCTGGTCTTCGCTTCTGATTGGTCAGTCATGTCGACCCATGAGTGCTTGTCTATTGTCTCGCTTTGAATAAACCTTTGTCTTCGTCGTCAGAATAACACGTGACAAATCAGTGAAGATATGCTTGTGTCTGTGGGAAACCAACCAGGTCAGGTTTAACGGATTAAAATCCATGAAATTATTTTGAGACAGCGTCTTCATACAGGAGAGTTTCGTCCACAGATTCGTCTTCATCCTGTTAAACAGAAAGAAATGAACATAATCTTAGTCGAAGGGGAACGTTCTTTAATGTGACTCGTTTCAGAACGTTCATTCAAAAGAAATGTTCCAATAATAATTTAAAGAATGATAAAATTGAATGAACCTTCACAGAACCAAGAAAAACTGAGATAGAAAAAAAAACTAGAAACTGCATTCGAACTCTAGTGGAGATTCTGCTTCAGATTCAGAAAACAAATGTATTAATAAATAATACCTCAGCAGAATCACTCATTCTGTCAGCGAGGACGACGTCTTCCTCATAACCCTCCAACATCTCCTCAAACTAAAGAACACACAAACTCTTTTATCTAGTGAGCTTCCTATCGAGACAGTATTATAAGAACACAAAATATGCACATTCTGTCTTTCATGGATCATGCAAACCTACCCAGAATGCATTGTGATTAACTCTATGATTAATCACATCCAAGATAAACGTTTTTTGTTTGTTTATATAGCCTACATGGAAATATTTCTTAAATATTCATACATGCATTGTGTGTATTTATAAATAATTATACACAGTTTACATGCATATATTATGTAAACACAAACTTTTATTTTGGATGCGATTAATCGTTTCACAGCCTTAGAGATTATAAACATACAAATTTGATAATAGTCTAATTATGAACTTAAACAGAAGCAGTGTAAATGCATCCATCCTCCTCACTGGATAATTATCCTCCTCCTCCTCCTCCTTTTCGTCTTCATGTTTAACGGCGATCTCCATTGTTCTGCGTTGTTTAATGAGTCTTGCATAAAGAAGCACACACACACACACACACACACACACACACACACACACAAATAGCTCAGTTGGATGTAATGCGAGATTTATGAATCTGTCAAATTAAAAAAGAAAACTCACAAGTGTTTTCCTGAATATCTTCTTCCTGAAATGACAAATTACATAATTAGTAATCATCATTTGATTAATTCAAACAATTGATCCTTGCATTTAAACAGTTAAATAATGAGTGGCATGATAAACTCACGGAGAACGACTCCATACACACAGCAAGCCATCAGAACCACGTTCAGCAGAGCGAAGCAGATCAGGACCACCAGCACCAGCACAGGAGACACGCGGTTCAGGACTGCACACGACAACACAACAGCAATCATGAACACAATGAACTATGAGGAAACAGTCCATTGGGTCATTCTTCAAGTTCAAACATTATCGAGACTTTTAAATCTTCTCTGACACTAGAAACATTTACAAAAATTTACAAAAAAAACATTTAAAGACCAGATAACGTTGAACAAACGTTGTAATAAAGTTACTAGAAGAACGTTTGTTCATAACTTTGAGAGAACCTTCACTCAACGTTCCCTGTTATAGTTATTTCATTTTATTACCTTATTCTTTCTAAATAATTTTTTTTAAATTCATCAAATAAATTAAATATTATTTTAAATGAGTATATCATAAAGGGAAATTATAAATATGCAATATAGTTTTTTAATATATTTTTGAATTTGTCAAAATTGTAATTATGTCACTTTATTCTTCATATTTCATATATATTATTATTATTCATATATTATTATGTTTATTATATATATATATATATATATATATATATATATATATATATATATATATAAAAATATTATATTATAAATATTATATATATATTATATTATAAATATTATATTATATCTCGGCAAAAAGTCAAACCATCGACGCCAAATTTTTATCGAGTGGAGAACCGAGATACAGCCCCCAGAAGCGCCCGCTGAAGCGAAAAACGAAAACTCAACATATCTCGACGAAAACTCAACCTATCATAGGGTAAGGGCAATCATCTTCCTTGGATTAATTCAGAACTTATTAGTGTCTTTAGGGCCTGTCGAAGGTGTCGTAAAGTTGATTAACGGAGATCCTTTCACAGACCGGCACGTGACGACGGCTCTAAAACCGACGTCAAGCTTCGCCACCTCGAGGGAGATCTCAGGCTTCGACACGTACTCTAGAAGAAAAAACGTTTTTAACGCCATTAAACTGATCAAAAGTGACATTATAATGTTACAAAAGATTCCCTTTCAAATAAAAGCTGTTCTTCATCAAAGAATCATGGAAAATAAAATGCATCAGTTTTCAACACTGATAATTATCATAAATTGGGAACACTTTACAATAACGTTCATTAGTTAACATGAACTACAGCATTTATTAATCTAAGTTAATATTAATTTCAACATTTGCTTATACTTTACTAACTTGTGAATGATAGTGTAACACGCTGATTAATCTGTTTATCCATTTTACCTTTGACCTGCACAGATATGACATCACTGGAGTTGAAGGTTATCGTGTCATTGAATCGGTTTGATGCCACACACTTATAATCGCCTGTGTGTTGCACAGAGAGCCGGTGTATGATCAGGGTGTCACCAGTCGTGTCGTACGGCCTTTCGTTCCAAAGCCACTCGTAGGAGACGTACGTTCCTCTGCTCTCTCTGCACCGGAGGGTCAAAGTTTGTCCTTCCCACACGGCATCACTGGCGGGACGAGGAGCGATTCTCACGCCCCCCACCGGGACTGCAGAACAAACCACAAAAACACTCAGGGGATCAGGGGCGGAGATGGGTAGGATTAGGGGTGGGGTTAGGGATCAGGTGGTGGAGATGGGAGGAGAACCACACACAGAAGGACTGGAGGAGGAGAGTGTGTGAAAATATACTTTTGAACATTTATAATACAGTAGTTTTAAAGGGTTAATGAGATACCAATGACTTTGAGATCCAAGCCTTGACTGAGCGAGCTCTGGATATCTGTGTTGTTGTATCCGCTGGCCTTGCAGATGAGCCGACCGTCATGTTGTGTGTTGATAAGCAGAGGAAAAGTGGCTATTTCTCCAGTCAGAGAGCTGTGCTCCCCGATCATCTTCCCCGGGTTTGACTCGACATAGAGCTCGTATAGGAGGACAGGCAACGAGGAATTTTGCAGTAGAATCTCAGGAATCTCGCAGTAGAAATCCTCAGTCGAACCGTTTAATGCAACGGACGGACCCATCAGAACCGGTTCATCAAGTTTGTGCTCATCCAGAGCTCCTGAAACAGAGGAAAAGAGTCGAGAACACACACACACACACACCAAACAAATATGCTCTTCCTCAGTTTCTGTCTTGTTTTCCAGTACAAAATATCTAAACTTTCTTAAATCAAGATACATTTACAGGAGAAGAAACAAAATGACTGAAGATAACACGTGCTTTTTCTGAAAAATATATAAAAAATTATGCTTAAAAAAAGAAAAAAGAAAACATTCGCCAATGGGGTAATACAAATAATAATTTTGGGGGAAAAAAGGACCACTGTCAGATATTTTTCTTGTTTTAATAAGTCACATTATTTTTAGACAGTTTTCCAAAAACACAACTTAATCACATAAGTAATTTTGCTTCTCGGGTAAATATGTGTGATTTAAGAATGCAAAGGAAAATGAGAGAAACAGTGCAGTGCATCTTATTTAAAACTCTTAAAAATATCAGAATGTCATTGCATTTGACGACACATTTGTTGGGTTTGAAATGATAATTCTGAAGAAGAAGACATTCAGTGTTGTTTTTGTTTGTAGTGGATCATAATTCAGGCAATAATGCAATTAAGTTCACAATTAACTTAGTGAGCAAACACATTTAAATTGATGCATTTTGCAGATGCTTTCATCCAAAGCAACTTGAATCGCATTCAATATTACAGTCAACATTGTCAAAATTTCGATTTTTCAGTTCATGCATTTATTGGGAACCTAAACACGTGATCTTGGCACTTTTTGGGGGTATTAAACACACACACTTAACCATAATATAATCCAATTGGTAGGAAAAGAAAGCCACGTACCCGTCCTTGGATACAAGACAGAAATACCTGCTGGAAAAATATACATACATAAATGAAAAGACAAACACCACATGAAAACATCCATCAGATATGAACAAGTTTCCTCCACCTATGAGAATCAGTGAAACATGCATTGACTCCATCCTCGCTGAATATCCAAACACCAGAATGATCTTTATATTAATGCAGCATGTGAACACACAAACACACACTGAAGAACATGTCTCACTTCAACAGAGCTGATGGGATCCACCCTAAACACTCCATGTTTCGAGCACAGATAGGGCCGATGCCAATGCAAACCACACAACAACGAGGGAAGATTGTGGAGAACACATTGCATGAACATCTGAGATAAACTATGTACTGCAGCCCATATATTGTTAGTTATTGCAATAATACAGCAAAATTATAAACCGTTCATCATGTCATGGGTTATTCCCAGTGACACACATTCTGTTTAATTTAGTTTTAATAGGGCTCTTTCCATCTGAATGCACCAACAAAGTTAATGGTGAAGAAACCAAACAAGGACGATTTGAAAGTTTAGTGACCTCGAGTAAGTACCAACAGCACAACCTACTGGTGTAAAGTTGTAAATTAAAGTTAAAACCGATCATAAACTTACATTTATAGACCTCCTCTCATTTGCGATTTGTTAATTTTGAAACCAAATATTTGACGCTCTTGACATTTTGGCGGTTTTCCCGTAACTGCCTCAAACACGTGACGTGAACCCTTGACGAATAATAATAATAGCACGGAATAAACATGAATAACCTCAGAACTTCAGAAGAAGGTATGTTGAATTTTTAAGATACAGAACCACTTACTGAAAGGAACCATCTCATCTAATCGTTCAGCCAGTGTTTTAAACGCTAAAAGACGTAAAAAAAAAAAACAGCTTGAAAACGACGTCGTCACATTTACCTCAGAAAAGTCATTAATTGATGTTTCATGATATTTCGTTTAAATGCGTACATTACAACGATCTGGTGTAAAACATATATATTACTAAATATAAAACTGTTATGTGCAATACATTTACACTTGTTATCATCATCACATATCTAACTGATAAGATTCCCTGTTTTCTGTAAGAAAAATCTGCATACTGTACCTGATCTGCAAATGGATCAAATTGAGATCATAATACACCGAGTTCAAGAGCTTGTGAATCGCTTGAATCTTGAATTCTGTGTTAAAACCAAGCCCTTGTTTAAAAAAGTCCTTCAGATTTTTATTTATTTATTTATCTTATCTATCTCTTTATTGTATTAATTAAAGCAAGATCAATTGCAACATTTGGTAAATTAAACATTTACTTGGTATATAAAAGCCTTACAATCTTAAAGATACGGCACATTTACAACAAAAAGTTTAGCTCCAACCATAATTAAATACATCTGAACAAGCGAATCAAGGTCTGCAGGATCACTATAGTGTGTTTGGAGCAGGTCTTGTCTGGTCTGGTTTAGTCCGCAAAATTCACGATGAATGTTTTCATTTCCACAGTTTGAGGTTTAAATGAAACGTCAGCTGGAAAGTTCATTCTGCTAAGAAGAACAGAAGAGAGATTAGATCCGTTCTTTACACGGCATCACATCCAAATGAAGCTTTTAGAGAGACTAAAACTCACGGCATCGCATCAGACTGGATCTCATCTGAAGGAGAAAGGAGAAAGAAAAGCAAGTTAAAGACCTTGTGCCAAAAACACACGAAGAAACGTGTGGACTGAACTTACGTTTAATGCCATGTTTGCAGGAGTTGTTTCTGCGCTTGGTGCTCCAGAACAGAAAACACGAGGCTCCTACGATCACCATAGATAGGAAACCACAGAAAACTAACGCAATGACCTCCATGGGCGTCGCTGACAAATCTGTGCAAGAACATACGAAACCATCATCAAATTTCTTTAAAGTCACCATGAAATCAAAATGGATATTTTTTTAACGAAAAATTGCAGTGATTATTCTTCGAGTACGTTTACACGACAACACTATGCTTAAAACGGAGAAGTTTTCAGCATACAGACGACACCATTGTCTAAACGATCATGGGTTAGGGTTAGGGTTTGACTGTTCATTTAGACCAAACGCTGTTGTCTAGGAAATGAACAGTCAAAATGCATAAAATTTTTTAATTGAAAGCGGTGTCGCGTAAACAGCCCCATAATGATTAATCGGTGCACATCATCATTATTGTGTTAATAATGTTGAATCAGAATCAGTTCCTCTTGCAGCATCTCTTCTCTTCTCTGATGACGAGGGCGGGGCTATAACCTGTCACTCATCCAGCCAATCAACTCCCCACAGACACAATCAAGCCCCGCCCACATTTGTTCGTGTTCCAGCAGCGTTTCACTCGACATACAACACTTTAGTGAAGAATCTGGAATTGATTTGATGGTTGGATGGTTGTGGTTTGGCCCAATTTAAACACTTCTGGAACAAGAACACATGTGGGCGGAGCCTGATTGTGTCTGTTGGGAGCTGATTGGCTGGTTGTGGTTTGCTATTGTCTGATCTAATGTGAGTGACAGGTCATAGCCCCGCCCTCGTCATCAGAGAAGTGAAGAGATGCTGCAAAGTTATTTTTAAGTTATTCTGATAAATCATTTACAATACTGCAATATTCCATAAAAGCAAGAATTAGCGACTTTAAAGTCTTCCTTGATAAACACACGCTTACCTGTCTTCTGTATGAAGACGTCCTCACTCTCCACCCAGATCGAGCTGTCGTTGAAGCTGTCCCTCGCCCTGCAGCGGTAATTACCAGAGCTGATGTCCGTGAGGAATAAGATCTGCCCGTTCTGCATCTCCATGTGAGCGTTGCCCCCTGGTGGAAGGGAGGAATGGTTCAGAGACCAGGAGAACGCGGGAAACGTTCCTCTATCGGGGAAGCATGTGAGCCGAGCCGCTGTCACCACTGCATCGACATCATAGAGGTATTTTACCATCACTCGCACAGCACCACCTACTGGAACTAACAAAAACAGGTTGAGAAACACGTTTGAAGGAAGAATAAGTCACTGTTTTTGTGCCATCAAATGCCACCAAGTGTCATTTATTCCTGTCATCAAAGCTGAATTTATGAATGAAGGTAACTTGACTTGAGATTACCGCTGCCTTATTACATTAACTCAAACGAGACGCACTTACCCACGTGTAAATGCACAGGATCAGACAGAAGCTGCTGTGTTTCTGCCTGAGCTTTACATTGAGCCAGGCCCATATCCAGACCGAGAGAGACGGGCCGAACGGACCAGAACTCCAGCGAATCCACACGTTTCACATCCACTTCCTGTCCGTTCACCAGTAAGCTGAATGTCACAGGCGGAGACCCACGTGCCAAACGGCAGCTAACGTTGGCCATCAGGCTCGAGCCATTCAAGAAGACCACAAATGACAACTTGAGCGTCGAGATGTTCTCTGAAAATCATAAAACATGAAACCGGTTCTGAAATAGGATGTTTTTTTTTGTTTTTTTTTTAGAGAAACAGCATATTGAACAACAAAAAAATCTGCAAAAAATGCTCTTGAAACAAACAAATGCACATAAATCTGGCTAAAATCAAGCAAAATAATCTGCCAATGGTTATACAAAACTGACTTGATAGCAATTCATGAAAAAAAATGTAGTCACTAATAAATGCTACTGGATCTTAGACAAAAATGCAGTTTTCACTTTTTATAGGAACTAAATAATCAGTAATTTTAGTAAAGATTGCATAAAAATGTGAATATTTAACCTTAAATTCATTTTCATAACCTGAAAATTCTTAAAACAACCCAATAAATTAATAATTTTAGTACATTTTACTTAGATTTAAGTGCATCTTGCTTGTTTCAAGAAGGGATTTTTTTTGCAGTGTAAATAAAAAAAAAAAATCATATTTTACCTCTTAATTTAGATTCTTGAAATTAGAATTTTTAGGGGGGTATTATTATTAAATTAGCTCAACAATCTAACTAAACATGCACAAAAACTTGCACTTTATAGCGGTCACTTGTTTCTGGTAAAATCTACCTCAAATTGAGTTAAAATTCACTTGCTAAGACTGAAGAAATTTCTTAAATAAAGATTTAATTTTTATTAAGAAAATTTTTATTTTTATTTTATAAAGATTATAATTTTTTATAAATATAATAACAGATAAATAAATAAATAAATAAATAAATAAATGCATATTTTATGACTTTTTGTTAACACTTGTACAATAACATTCGTTAAACCCCTGGTCAGAGCCTGACTCCACCCACTGGCAATATTTGAAAAATGCTGGAAAAGTGGGCGGAGCCCAGCGGAGGGGGGCGTGCACCTGAGACGCATCTCTTTGTATGAAACTTGCCTACGTCACCAACAACCGCTGTGTCACGTACCACCGCAAACATCCTGAAGAGGGCAGCACTAAGATGTTTTTACACCATATATTGTAGAAATAGAACATTTTATAAACAAATGCCAAAAAAGTTACTCGAATCAATGACTGGTATTAATAAAGATCCATTCTTACAGATCATTAACTAAAAAAAGTTGGTTAAGCGTTTAGTTAACATGAACTTCACGTATACAGCATTTATTCATCTTAGTTAATGTTAATTACAACATTTACTAATACTTTATTTAAATCTTGTTTACATTAGTTAATGCACTGTGAACTAACATGAACAGCTGTATTTTTATTAACTAACATTAAAGTCCTCATGAAATCAAAATTGACCATACTTACTTTGTTTGCCTAAATTGCTCGTTTTGTGGTGAACAATTCATACATGCAAGTCAGAATGAAACACCCATTTTTCTAGATCCAATCAGGTGCTAGTTGGAAAAAAAGCCACGCCCACTATTTTGCCTCATTTAGTATTCCGTTTCTCTCGGAAATACGTCACAACACTGGAGAAAAGTGGTTTGCAACTTCCGGTTCACGGGGACTTTAACAGAGATTAACAAATGTATTGCTCAGGTAGTTCATGTTAGTTAATACATTAACTAATGAAACATATTGTAAAGTGTTACCGACTTTTAATCTTTCCTGGCAAAAAAAAACAAGACGAAGATTTTTTACTTGCTTAGATTTCAGTTTTTGGAGTGTGATTACTGTCAAATTAGTTACGTTTCACGGTGACACGGAGGTTTTGGCTGCTGGAGAATCTCGGGTTGACCTCCATTATGTTTTGAGCTGTGCACGAGTATGTCCCAGCATGCCGTTCACTCGCGGCGTCCACCGTGAGAGCGTCTCCTGAGAGCCGATAGTGTTGTGACGAGGCGTTGACCTCTTGCTGGTCATGATCCCATGTGAAGGACAGATGCGTCCCCTTCCTGACGAGACAGCGCAGGGTGAACGTCTGTCCTTCATACAGGACCGGGGGATCCGGATCTGAGCTCAGACGGGCCCCGAGGACTGGAGCTGTCGAGGAGGAACACAATTGAAATGTTGCCTTAAAATAGATAGATTAAAAAAATATGCAAAAAATAAATTAAACTGAAATTGTAATATGTATATATATATATATATATTATTTTTTTTAAATACAAAAGCACAAAACAAAATTGCTAAAAATTAAACAAAAAAAACTTAACTGGAAATAAAAAAGTACTTAAACTGAAATAAAAGTAAATGAAACCTAAATAGTGTTTTGTGTGTGTGTGTGTGTGTGTGTGTGTGTGTGTGTTTTACAAAAACAAAATAAAATTGCAAATTGGAAACAAATAACTGGAAATAAATAGAAAAACGTTAGTAAATAGTGAATATTTATAACAAAATAAAAAACCCCAACAAAATAGCTAAATATTTAACAAATTAAAATGATGAAACTGGAAATAAATAAAAATGTAAACTAAATTAAAAAATAAATTAAGCCTAAATAGTAATATTTAAACAGAAGCGCTTAATAAAATAATATATAAATATCAGATAAAACTTTGATTAAACAAAAATTTTAAATGTTGCCCTAAAATAAAAAAAAAGAAACTAATGGTAATATAAAAAAAATACAAAGCCATCAAAATAACAAAATATTTAACTAAAATATCAAATATAAATATTAGATTGAAAAACAAACTTAACTAAAATTAGAAGCGTTGGCTTGAAGTTGAAGCATAACAATGACTGCAAATAAATTAAAACTACATAAATTAAGTACACAAAAAGTTGAAACAAATAAAAATAAATTAAACCTAAATAGGAATAAAATACTCACATTAAAAACCAAAAACTAAACCTTTTTAGACATGTTATGAAAATAATAACAATTAATGACTAAAACTAATAAAAATGAATATAAAATAGCACATTTGAGTTTCTGTCTTGATACAGATGTGGCTTTGGTGATCTTGAACCACAATGATGTTCTGGTGTCACTCACTCACGACATGGAGACGGATGCTGTTGCTGGTTTGACCTCCAGTGACCCCGCAGTAGTACTTGCCCTCTGACCCCTCAGTGACCTGCAGCTGGAAGGTGACCTTGATGTTGTTTTCTGCACTAATAAGATCCCCTGTGTCCTTTCTGAGTTCGAAGGTCAGAGGTGAAGCCCAGCCTGGGACCTCGCAGTGAAACTGGACCTGAGATCTCAGATAAGCTTTACTGGGACCAGTCAGAACCGGTTTCAGCCTCGACCCGCCTGTCAGACCACAAACACCTCAAAATAACACGTTACAGTAAGGTCACATTAGTTATTAGTCATGTTAGTTCGTTTGTTATTGTGACTCTGGATCACAAAACCAGTCCCGAGTCGCACGGGTGTAATTGTTGTTAATCATCCGTGACGGCGACACGTGGCGACTCTGTTTTAGAAACGGTTCCTATTTTTCTGCGACGTCGCGCTGGAACAACAAACACAAAGTGTGGCGATGATAATCTCAGACACTGTTTATGTGCGTTATTTAATGTTAAAAGCGTGTCACGTGACTCTGAATATCAGCTAGAGCTCCAGCTTCGCACCTCAGATCTTGAAATTAAACAAATGGAAACAAAAACTGGGAACAAACAAGTGTAATATTTGACAAAGACTGGTTTAGTAACTTTAACAATGTTTAAATGGTGTAATATTTGTGAATTTGATTATGCACTTATCCATGATCTTGAGGGTGTGACTCTATGCACGAGACTCCGCCCACTTCCCACAAGACTCCACCCACACGCTGCATTGATTGGCTGTGGGATTTGATTGATTGTGCCGCGTCTCGCAGTCGCGTCACGTGTGTTGTTTATTTGTCGCTGGAATCGTTTGGTTAGGACAGTGTCAGACTGATCGATATTTCATTAATCATTAGGATATTAAGTAAAGATCATGTTCCAGGACGATATTATGTAAATTTCCTACCGTAAATATATAAAACATGTATTTTTGTGAGTGAATGCAGCACAGATTTCTCAGTGTTTCGATTATTTTGCATCTTCAGATCACAGATTTTCAATAGTGATATTTCGGCCAAATATTGTCCTATCAAACCATATATATATATATATATCAATGGAAAGCTTATTTATTCAGCTTTCAGATTATGTCTAAATATCAATTTAAGCAAATGTACCCATGTGACTGGTTTTGTGGGTCACTAATTAGCAGTGATCAACACACTGGTTACAGCATTTGTTAAAGTTAGTTAATAACAATACAACTGTTCGTGTTCACGTCACTCAGATCCATTAAACATTAACAGAGACAACTTTTGATTTTAATAATGTATAAATGCTGAAATTACCATATAATAGACAAGATTAATACATGATTTAGAAGTGTTATGTTAATATGGTTAATTGTAAGTTATTTCAACTGCTTACGATGAGCATAAATGTGTTAATCGTGGAAACAATTCAATTTATTCTGGACACATGTAGATTGCAGAGGTTTATAGATGTATAATAAACCTGGTTGTTGTTCATTTAAAACATTTAGTTTATTAGTAATAATACATGAAATTCATCTATAAGACTGATAAAAATGCAGTTTAACTGTTTGTGTTAAAATGTGTAGTTCAGTTGAATGTAAATTTGATCTGCAGATTTTATAATAATGAAAAGAAGTACCGATTTCTGTCACAAATCCCAACAAAACTGAAACACAAAAGAGGAATCCAGTAAATCAGCAGCGAGAGACTCTCACAGAGAACCTCACTAATAAACAAAGTACTTCATTAATGGGTTTCTGTCGAATAATGTCAGTAACTCACCGTAGATAAACATGAGGAAACGCTGCATCCTTCAGTCTGCTGATATCAAGACTTGAGGTGTGTGTGTGTGTGTGTGTGTGTGTGTGTGCATGTAAAAGCATATGCATGTGGACTCTGTAAAAGCGCGTGTGTGTAAAAGCATATGTATGTGTGTGTGTGAAAGCGTGTGTGTGGACTGTATAAAAGCATGTGCTTGGTGTGTGGACTCTGTGTTACTGCGTGTGTGTGAGAGATATTTCTTCATCATGTGTTCATCAGAGATAACAAGCGTCATCTCATCACTGAAGCTCCACATTATGAGACACTTTTACAGAATCAGACACCAGGGTTTTTATCGAGAACTAAAACTAAATACTAAATATAAAAACTTACTATAAGCTATTTAGACATATATAAAATCCACAAACACTAAATTCTGGCATAAATGCGACGTGGGATCTCAATATCTCAGCTCTGGAAGGGTCTAGAACCTCCATTTTGGCACTCAGGTCTAAGGCCGTGTGTCCACCAAAGCGTTTTTCCACGCGCCTGGCGTCTGTTTTCATTTGTTTTCAATGGGAGCGCCGTTTTTTTTAAACGCCATGAACGTACCGAGGCGCTGAGCGGTTTTTTTTCTCGCTGAAGTGCCGAGCGCCCGGCGTTTTTACTGGTCGCTGGGAGTTGAATAATGTTCGCAGCGCTCATCACACACTGTCACATTTTACCCAGCCATCCAATCACAGTGGAGGAGGGGCGGGACTAATACCACACCGACCAACTGTCACAACATTCAAACTGCTGCGGATATTCTGTATCATAGCAACGAAACGTCTCAACGGAAAAAATGCTGCGCTGACAAGACGCTCTCAAGCGCCCAAAGCACGGCGTCGTCAGACTCAGCAGAGCGTCTAGCGTTTTCAGCTGGATAAAAACGCTTTGGTGGACACATGGTCTCCAGAGTTTCAAGAAGATCAGAGCAACTCAAAATTTCGACCCGAAAAAACCGACAGTGGTACCCTTTCGTTTTTTTTTTTTTTTTTTTTTTGGTGCGAAAAAAACAAGTTTCTCCAATCTTCTTGAAACTCTGGATTCTGATAGAGGGCCATGAGACTTAAACCTGAGTGCAAAAATGGAGGCTCTAGACCCTTCCAGAGCTGAGATATTGAGATCACACGTAGCATTTACACCATTATTAAAATAGTGGGTTCGTGGACGGTGGAATTATGGGATGGCGCTTGGTACTCAGGGCTCATAAATGGTTTTCATCATGACAGGAAACTTTAATTAAAATGTCCATCAAATACACTACCCAAATCCCCATTCAACAGATTGCCGGCGGGATTCTGTGCATTTGCAGTTTATTGCATGAACGCTGGGATTAGTACATTTAAAAATAGTGAGTTATTGGACACATAGTGGGTCGTGGATGGTGGAATTTCGGGACGGCGCGTGGTGCCACAGACACCGAACAACACCGAACTAACCTTTTAAACCGACCGACCCATACCACACACACCTGTCCCTATACGCCTTATCAATGTTGGGTAAGTTACTCAAAAAAAGTAATTAATTACTAGTTACTAATTACCTCTTCAACTGTGTAATTAGATTACTGTACTAATTACTCTCTCTAAAAAGTATTTAATTATTTTTAATTACTAATTACTTTCAAAATCCCATGTCAATCTCAACCAGCTGAATAATACAAGGATAGACATGAATCTGTTTTAATTCTTTCAAATAAACACTATAAAATTGCACGAATTATCCTTAAACTGACCAAGGTGGAGAAGGTTACATTATAAAAACATACTTTAACATCAGACAATACATTTTGATCTTAAACCCACTATTGTTTTATGTCTGATCTCATGACATTTCACACTTTTTTTCATACATATTTTACAATAATTCATACGAAGTTGTACTAATGCGGTCGTAATATTTAGACACCTCATAAAATGCAAACGAATCGCTTTTCGATTGATCGGATTGATCCATACACAGTATTTATTTACCTCAATTACATCAGAAGTAACTGTAATTAAATTACTGATGAATTCAGAGTAATCCCTTACTTTACATTTTCAAGGGAAAAGTAATTAAATTACAGTAACTAATTACTTAGTAATTAGTTACACCCAACACTGCGCCTTATTCACGGCAGCGCCATCTTTGATTTTTAGTGAGAATGAAAGCGAGGCTGTGAGGGATAGACTTGCATCTGTTCAATGGGCCGTACTGTTATTTAATGTGTTTTCGGATTGTTCTGCTCATGAAACACTGGAAAAATATCTTTCAGTTGACAAAAAACTCCTGATCTGTAAGCTGTGGAAAATCGTAAGTAATCTAGGGGCTTTATTCAGCTTTTTACAGCGGATGCCTATCCCTCACAGCCTCACTTTCATACCTGTCACGGCGCCGCTCTGAATAAGGAGGTCCTTACCCGTGTGTGCGATTCTGCTCGATAGCAGCAAAAGTGTTTTACACTACAATAACAATTAAGTAGATTGTATTTTTCCATTTAAGTAGTACTTAAAACCACTTAATATAAAGTGGGACCTGTGTTGTCATTATAATCCCCTATAAAAAAATACATCTAAAAAATAATAATTGGGATGTACAATGGTTGTGGTTCCTCTCTAAGAAATGCAACTAAAGACATTATTTGATTATTCAAAGTTGAAGGAAGGAACATCCCTGAACTTTAGAACTGGATTATCGTCGTCATTATCTATGAAAAAGAAACTGCAGAAAGCTGACGAGTCACTGTCAGACGCTGAGTGCGTCTGTGTGTGTGTGTGTGTGTGGGTGGGTGGGTCTAGCCTACTCATGACGTTTAGGAACTTACAAATCTGGTTTCACATGTGAGGGTTTCAGACTTTGTATAGCCTAGACACTGCACACTGGAGAGCTTTATTCTCAGACAACTATCTTCCAGAGAACTGTGTGTGTGTGTGTGTGTGTGTGTGTGTGAGAGAGCAGAAGGACCTGTTGTGGAGGATGAAGCTGCTCTATGGACTGATCCTGGCGATGGCTGTCCTGGTTCTGGCTGAAGGACACGGCGTTGAATCTGGATGTCAGATCTGGGATAACAGTAAAGACCACAGTGTCGATAACACAATCGTGTGCTGTACGAAGTGCCTTCCAGGTGAGTTTGGCAAAGGACTTAACTCTGGGATAAAATGATTGATGAAACACTGAATATAACATCTGTTTTGGATCAATATCAACAGAAAAACTACAAAACTAAAAATATAGATCGTGACTTTAACTTTAGGTACAAGTATCAAGATTCAATATATTATAACTAAGTTTATAGTTAAATACACATGCTCTTTAGGAGTGTGAGAGATTCCTGTTTCCATAGTAAGGATTAGGATTGTGGGTAGGATGAATTTTGATTTTTTTTTTTTTTTTTTAATTATCTAGATTATTATTATTATTATTTAGGTCTGCAAAAACCTCGGGTCAAAAGGGGCCATTGGTTCAGAAAGGTTTGAGAAACAATGCTTTATGCTTATAGTTTGTTTTTTGTGTGAAGTGAAAGCCTGAAAAAAAGGTTTACATCAGAAAGATGCCAGGGTTTTGTCTCGAATGCCATATCAATGGAAATTAATCATTTTGATAAACATTACCAGCTTTTATTATTCTAATAATATTAATAACAATAAGTTATCAAACAACACCAAAAAATATCAATGGAAATGAAAAACAAATGGGGAAAATAAATCATATATGTAACTCGTTGTTGGAGGCGACACAGGTATACATTTGGGATAGATGAATTTAGAATAAATGACTAAACCCCAAAACTGAAATAACAATATTAACACACAAATATCAAACTGTTCACAGTATTTAGCACAGTATTTTCACTTGAACACTGATGTGTGTTTCAGTTTCCCTTCATGATAAAATGTGATCATGCGATTAAAAGAGCCACACACACACACACACACACACAGCTGCTTTCATCCTCACGGTGCATTACTTTCCGTTTCATTATTGTGCAGTGTGTGATGTTCACCGGAAGGATGTCATCATGTGTAGAGTGAAGTCCACTGCATTTTGTTTTTAATCTATTATAGTCAACAATCCAATTTTGGTGTGTCTGCCTTCATTGCACAAGATCACAAGACACATTTATTTATTTGATTAGTCAAATAAATAGTTCTTTGACTAATCAAATTCATTTTACATGTTGGAGAATGTTGGTAAAGTTGACTGCCATAGTATTATTTTAATGGGGACCAGCAACCGTCTTTAAAACATCTTCTTTTGTGTTCAGCGCAAAGAAATAAATTCATACAGGTTTGGAACAACATGAGGGTGAGTAAATGATGACAGCGTTTAGGAAAAAGAGGACGTAGACTGTGTTGAAGGTGTGTAATCCTACTATATGTGTGTGTTTGTTGCAGGAAACCGTCTAAAAACTAAATGCGGCCCAGACCCAAGGTTTCTGTGTACTCCCTGTGAAACTGACAACTTCATCCACATCGAAAACACTGACGCAAACCAACGGAAATGTCTGAGGTGTGATGAGTGTATAGGAGGTACAGCATACAATATTTTTTCCATTTAAACTGATGCTAAAGCCTTCATTGCTGTGTTTTTTTTATTCAAGTGCTCTGAGCATCACTATACAAATGCCAAAATTACCCAGACAGCAACATAGTGTTGGCCCAGATCCGGTACATGTTGATTTCACAACTGGAACATTACGATGCTGTCTGGGTCGCTGACGACAGGGTTGGCGGGTCTGTGCAATAAAACAATGGCCAGTAAAAATAATAATAATTCGTAAAAACTATCCCAAGCCTGAACAATACCGAACATGCCTTTGGTGTGAGAGACAGAGATACCAATGTGTTGCTCCAGAGGCGTGCGACCTCTGATATATATATATAAATAACTTTGGATAAAAGCGTCAGCTAAATTAATAAATGTAAATATGAAAACCAGGTGGCAGACGGGTGAAAGAGAATTGCACCGCCAGCAGAAACACAATTTGTGGGTGTTTACAAGGATATCGATGTGGAAACGGCAAATGCTCTCACTGCCTGAAGGAGTGTGGGAAGGGAGAGCAACCTGATGGAAAAGGTAAGTCTGGATAAAGACAACTGATCAGTCTCTACGTATCTTATTAACTAATATACATCTGACCGCAATGTCTTTCTGCTACGAATTTAGGCAAGTGTGAGCCGTGTCCTCCACGGATGTACAACGACAAGCTCCATCAACCCTGCGTGAACTGGACCAAGTATGACGCCTTTAGCGTTGTTGTTTCTGATATCGATCTGCCTGTTGAAAACACTTCCGGGCTGATGAAACCACACTTCACAAGCCATTTCAAAAATGTATCTCTCAACCCACAGATGTATGCCTGACCATCAGATAATTGTTCCTGGAAGTTCATCTACAGATGTGATCTGTGGCCCTCAACCACACACCAAAGCGACAGTGTTGCCGTACAGTGATGCAGAGAGAAGTATGAATGACACAGGCAACCTGTGGGCATGATAGTGACCTCACTGATGACCACGGGGAGTTTCTGAACACCCTGAAGTGGTCTTTAGTTCAGATTATGGGAAGCCCTACATTTTTCATGCATTTGACCTTTTATAATTCATATACACACATGCACCCACCCACCCACACACACACACTTTGTACTTGATGTTCAGTTAAATATATAAACAGATTTCAGTTAGAAAAGAGCTGATAATTTGATGTATGAAACGCTAAAACTCACATTTTCTTTCCATTGGCATCTTTAAGGATCATTTTCAACTCATTGTTGCTCTTTGCTTCAGATGTCACGGTTATTCTCATCATCTTCGGGCTCATAGGCATAACCATACCTCTCGCTATAATCCTCTTCCTGGAGTGGAGAAGGAGAAAGGTCACCCATGAAGAGAGAAAGCAACCAGGTAAACTTCATCTGCCGTTGTGTTTACTTCTGCATGTTTAACCCTAAAACCATATTCTGGACAAATGTGGGCAAAATAGTTTTGATTTATTTTTTTAAAAAAAAATACTTCCCTTGATCTGAGCGGTTCAAGACTTGCCTCCTGAACACACACAATTTTTTTGACTCAATTCTACAATGTTAAGTGGGTGAAGAAAAAAC